TTTATATTGAATTGCAAAGGAAAGTAAAAGAACATAATTTTCCTATATCACAAGTATATAATTATAAAAACATTACTATCTACACCATTACGATTCCGACAATTAATATAAAAATTAATATAAATTAATTAAAAATTGCATATAAAATATGAAATATAGACATGATCCTGCGGAATATATATAAACAACTGATTTGGGGCAACATTGTATCTTAGCTTTATCGATTGCTATTTCTAGATAAATTGGTACGACTGCCAGCTTGTCTTGTATAAAGAAGACTGGCCTACTTTGTCTCGAGAATTTAGATTATTGGCATACCACAGCGAAGATATACATTGCTATTAGTATAAATAAATGATCTTTTTTTCAATTAATATTTTAAAATAGTCAACTGCAGTTATTATTAATGTTAATTATTTTTGTCGAAAGTCTTGTGTTTTATGACGAAAAGAAACTACTTAAATATTGGTAGAATTCAAATGGAAGTAAAAAGACAACAACAAAAATTTTAGTTAATATATTAAAGTTTGGCTGACCGTACAACGACTCTTGGCTGTTTCGAGTACTGCCAAGTACTCATTATCAGTGGTCTTAGGAAACATTCGAATTTTTTTAATTAGTTTATAGCCCGTATATAATTTGTATGGATTGCAAGTGTCATAGAACTCTTACCTATCAAATTAGAAACCATGACTAATCGTGTTTTTGCGCAAGTAGTCAAAGCTGCACAAACTTTCAATGCTCAAGTTCCAAGTTTTTTGTCACATTTTTTTTTTAAGTGACACTAACCAAAGCCCCAGAAAAAAAACAAACAATAATAATGTCTAACCAAAGAAGACATTATTGACATTATTGTTTAATACCGATTAGTCTAAACATTAAATAGTTAGCTACGACGGCTTTTATATAGTAACAATTATTCTACAAAAGTTCTGTAAGGTCTCACTTGTTCGTAGCCCCATTTTAACCGATGAAATTGTTGACAGTGCTTTTTGATTTGAGTTTAATTCAATTTATATGACAGGTACTGTCTGTTCGAAATTAGTTTTCAAATAGTTCACTAACTAAATGTTAATCATTTAGTAATAAAAGTGTAATAATACCCTGTGATAAGGTAGATATTAAAATAGAGATGTCCAAATCCATAGGTTCAAAGACACATATTTCATAGAATCTCTGTTATAAGAATTTAAAAAGAAAACTAGATAATATGTGTGGAAAGGCATGAAAATTACATTAACTGACTTACCCTTTTGCAATATAACCGATTTCAGTAACTTAGAAGTAGTTGCATTGCACTCGTCTTTAATATTCCAAAAATATCATTCACACATTTCGTTAGCAATCTGGGTTTTGTATATAAATTTTCTACACATGTGTTGAGCAGTTCCTCCATCACAATATCTGTAATTATCTTTATAGATCTCGATCCTGATAATGACTATTAAGGAGAGTTGAAATATAGAATATTTAGAAAATATTAAACAAACCTTGAATTTTAATTTTAACAGAAAGTAACTTATAGTCGGATAAAAAATATATAAAAAGCATTATCAAATAAAAAATATTAAAGAATCAAAAAACAAGTGGTGTATTCTTATAAAATAGCAAATTTAAAATAAGAAAAATTTTAATATGTTTTCAATAAAACGAAATATATAAAATATATATATAATATATACATATATCACATTATTCAGTAAAAATCGAAACTTTTGGGGTGCACCATTCATAAAAAACCAATATATATGAGTATATATTTTTGTGTTTTAAAACGATAACCTTCAAATAATTATTATTATTAATAAATAATAGGTTATGAATGCACCACGACCGAACTATTGTGCACCTAAAAGCTCAACTAAGACAATTCTAGACTAGTTAAAAAACTAGTAATTGCTGTCGGCTTAATTTTACCTATTTGATTTGGGACAAAGGTCCAGCTTCTAAGGTAGTCAATAATAATGTTTTGCCGCCGGTGGTCAGTTACCGCTGGCTTTTATTCATTTCTCGAATAAGTCTTTTACCTTCAAACAATACTTGAAATATTTATTGGGTTACATTTGAAAAAATTAACGAAAAGTAGTTTTGTGCATTGATTAAACCCTAAATTCAATAGGAAAAAATATGCCGTACAAGTTATTGAATATTAGGTACATGTCTTACATATTACGGCAACTCTTCTATCTTGAATCTACCGATCTGTCTCAAGTACCGATGATACTGAATATTATAGACGCCAAGTCAATAAAAGCATTTAACGTGATCATTAAGTGAGGTAAAAAGTGATAGTTTAGTCAATAAAGATATCACAAGGCAGTGTAAATATTCATTTGAACTAATTTATAAACTTTTGCATTACTGCCATATTTATAATATATATTCTAAACACCTTTTATTCATATATAATTTTTATTTTATTTTGTTTTTATTTCAGAAGCCAATATGAGTGAAGTGCAGAGCTTGTTGACAACTTTCGTCATACTTGCCGTTTTACTGATTTTTTTATGGACCCTCTATGCCATTTTTTAAATTCAGCGAGAAATTCGATTCATGTTCATTAATGAATAACTTAGCTAAAAATAGTATATAAGGTCTTTGTTACATGATAGTAATTAAATAAAAAGGTAAGTTTTCAAAAATTATATATTATATTACAGGTATCTTATTATCTTACTTATTATAGAATTCGATGAATTATAAAGTTTATTGTTGTTGTGATGACAAATACGTCTTTCTTAAATAAACTTTTATCTTCTATTTATATTTCTACAGTTGTTTGATACTGAGCTCTGGATAATATATTTTCACTCGCTATTATTTTAAAATATTTGAGATCTTTCATTGCATACACTCAGAAAAATAATTTTGTAGATTCAATCAGAATTTAATTATATCTAAAATCAAACTATAGTTACTCGACAGATCACGTTGGGTCAACCATCCCATATGTTGCTTTTTATTTCTTCTTTAGCACATGAGCTAAAGTTCTTCTAACAAAATTGTGGTTAATCTAACTTGTATATGGTTAGAGAATATTTTTCTGAGTGTACAGTTAATAAGTTTTGAAAAGTACGTTAAAGTTATGAGCTACTAGTGAAAATGGACATTTTAAAAAGTTTCTCCTTTACAACAGTGATTGAGAGACAATAATCAACTTTTTATTCTACGGTGACTTGCACTTTTGCAGGCTAAGATCACTTTTTATATTTTCAAGAAGTAGCTAATAATTTTGAAAAGGGTTTTGAAATTGATTGCGATCATAAAAAAATCGCTAAAGCAATTACAGGCCTAAATCAGCCCATCAGCCCAAAATGTTAAGTAGTAAATATCTTATTTGTGCTATATGACGATTATTACATTTTTCATGCTACCTTTACTAGTATAAATTGATATATGTGCATATTGTTAAGAACATATTCATATATGTATACTCGTTCCGACGATGATCGATTTGACAGTGTATAAAGAATTTCACCTCTTCCCTCTCTACACAAAAAGAAAACTTTGTGTAATTTTAGTAAATAAACTTCTTATGTTGTTCTTGGTCTTATTTATATTTGTATTTATTAAAATTAGTTGCTTTGGGAAGTTCTAATTAAACTAGTCGAACAAACCCCGTACCCTCTATAAAATGAAAATACATATTAAATACTCATACTAAATTAATAGCAACACTTTTTTATTTATTTTTAAAATTTTTGTTTTTCTATACAAATTCAAGTTTTGAAACTTATATTTAATGTAAGAGGGTTTGAAGAGCAATGAAGCAGCAATAACAATAATTTGATTATTTTATTGAAATTCGGCTGACCATATAATACTGTTTCGAGTATTGTCAAGTATGTTGCATGGTAAGGCAAATTTCAATAAATTAATCAAATTTTTGTTGTTCCTTTTTCCTTACCTGTTCGAACCCTTTCAGTTTCTTTTCCTCAAAAGTTGCGTTGTATTCGACAGAAAAACTTGATATAAAAAAAATTGAATTTAATATGTTCAGGAGATTCTCTTCATTTTTATATTACAATTTATTGATGATTTAACTATAAGATTCTTGCGTATACGAGTATTGTGCAGTTTTCGAATGTTAAACATTTTATTTTATAAACACAAAAATATGTTTTTAATTGATAAACTATTTGATTGCTATATATAAATAAAAAGATTAATATATAATCCAATTTGAAATTCTTTTTGATCATAAAATATCGAATGGCTCAAATGTTGCCATCAATTAAAATTTCTATATGGAAAACTATTTGAAATGTTTAAAAAGTATTTTAATTCAAGTAAATAAATGTGTCAACAAGTTTTGTATATAAAGTGATGTATATTATATATGCGTGTAATAATTTTTTTATTAATACGTAGAAGTAATAATTAATGGCAAAAACATCTACTCAACCGACGTACAACATGGATTATCTATATTTTTACTTGGACAAGACATGAAGCTTTGCTGACAAGATAAGAAGTACAGAAAATTGTTTTTTTTTGCTAAAATTAGTGGCGGATAACTTTATATATAGAAAATTTACTTTCTATATATAAATTGTATATATTTATATACTATAAATTGATTTTGTCAATATATATGTGTATGCAGTTTATATCTATTTAAATATTTTATTCCAAAATATGTGATGAAAAACATTATGTATGTATTTTTTAAAATACAAAAATAAGTAAGAGTATACATGTGTACATATAAATATATATACAATATAAAAATTATTTATATAATGAAATAAAAAAGGCTAAAGTTAAGAATTAATATTAAGAACAGTAAAATTTTCATATATTTGCCGTGCGTTGGAAATGCCTCCTTCGCCCACTCACATACAGTAAACCAATGAGCAAAAAACTGCGTCCAACAGAAACCAATTCAGCACACGGAATTAAATATTGGAATATTCATTGTACATACAAATCGATGGTATATTTTTGTTGTTGTCTTCAAGTATTTTATATGCTTATTGCTGTTCTTGATGAACATGGCATTTGTGGAGAAATCATATAGATGCGCTTTTCAGTTATTCCGTAGCAATCGGTACGAACGGTTTTGAAATATCGACAGATTTTGGATAAATCAACAATACAAAAGTGTGTGTTCCAGAAATTTTCATTTTGAAACCCTTTTTCCCAATTCAAAATAATTTTTTTTAATTACACAATTTAATCCAAAACTATCCTATCCATTATAAATCATATATGAAGAAGTGAAACTGTGATTTTAATATGTTCAATAATAAATAAATATCAATAAGAAAATTAAGAAAATTAAAATTTTATTAATTATTCAATATAAAAATATATATATTTTTTTGCTATTAAACAGCTCATATCACCACAACAGTAAAAACAACAAAACTTTATAAAAATGAATGAGGCCAGAAGTTTGTTCACCACCTTCGTTATCCTTGTGTTCTTACTTGGATTACTTTGGGCTTTCTATGAAGCTGTCTTCTAAAATATGCCAAACGTTTACATTAATTTTGCTATGTAAACCGACAGCACAGTTCTTACATGATGTTAATTTTAATAGAATTTATTTTAAATTAAGAAAACGAATTCCAAATCTTTAATATTGTAATAATATATCAATGTAGTTGTTAATGTGTAAATAAGGCGATATAGTCTATAAGACAGGTAAGCCTAAAAGCAATTACTTGCATTTAATTAATTTTAATTCCTAAACATATTAAAAGTTATATTAATAAAATTATTTTATTTATTTTATATAAAAATATAAACAAAATATCAAATTTAAACATTACATATCAACAGATATTACTTTGTAATATCTATATCTATATATATATATATTTAATATAATATTAAAAAAATATCGACAAAATTCCAAAAATCTTTTGTTTATAAGCAGTCAAGTTTTATAAAAATATTTTGCATTATCTTAATATACTCGTATATATACTATTTCGTAATTAACAATTAATATTCTGAATTTAACAATTTCGAACAGATATTTTATATTAATAGTGAATATTATTTTGAATGGACATAAAAAAAATCTCAGGAAGTTTTTATAAACTTCTATTTTATATTAAATTATTTTAGCCATTTCTTTATAACCCCTTTTACATATTTTTTTATTTATTAATTTTAAAACTTAGTTTTGTATAAAATTATTAATTATTTCTTTACCTACATAAAATATAATTAATAATTAATTCTTTATGTATGTATATAAAATATATTTAATAATTAATTCTTTAATTATGCATATAAAATATTATTATTAATCTTTTATTTTATGCATAAAATGCAATTAATTACTAATTATTTATTTTTATAAATGAAATAATCAAATAATATTTTTAAAGAATTTTTGTTGTGATCATTTTAAATTACTATACCATATATGGTATGATATATTGGATTCTCTATTTAATTTAACCTATAGCTGAAGGGATTATTGATATTTTTATATATACATATTAAATAAATTTTTGTTTAATCAAACAGTTTTTCAATTACTTAAATAAAACTTAAATAAACAACAGAATTTCACGTAGAAACTTTGTTTTATAAAAAAATGTTAATTAAAATTTTTTATTTAAATAATTCATTTAATTAATATTTACTTTATATAAAGTTATAATAGAACATAATTTTTTTTGTAAAATTTTTGATCAGATTGCTTTTTAAATATTATTTATTTATTAAGAAATATTATATAACTTTAAATTCCATAGAGGATTTATATTTAAAGTTTAGTTTTTTACTAATTAATTCTAATTAATTAATGAAATTAATATTTCTACATCAGAAATATCTAAATGTAGAAATATCTGTTTATCTATCTGTTTGTTAAAATTTGGGAACAAGTCTAAAGATTATTAAACGAAAGCTTAGACATTGATATATGTAAATCGAGCTAATATTTATACAATCATATATAATGTATAACTATATATTTCCTTTTAATTTTACATCAGTAATAAATTGTTAGTAATATTGTTGAAAAAATTTATAAGTAATTAACAATTTATTAATAACATAATTATTTCTGTGTATATATACTATATATTATATATATATACTAGTATATAACTCAGGCAGAAAAATATATATGTAACACAAAGGATAGTTAGTATATTTTACAATTATTGTTTTTTGGGCTTAGTGGCGTTAGGCATTTCGCTTCTATTCAGGTAGAGCTTAGGTGCCGTTTTAATACCACAAATCCGGTAATAAAAAGCTAAGTCTTAAAACTAACTTTTCGATGGATGCATGATATTATATTATTATATATCGTGAATTTATGTTAGGGATGTCTGCCATGTTCATAAGTTAATAGATTTACATAGTAAAAGTCCTAATTTTGCCCTTAATTTTGCCAGATCTGGCTATTTGCAACGATAGTGTTCAGTTGTTTATTCTTTTTGTTCCTTTCTGTAGTTCCTAAATTTGTGGTTGCTAATTGGCTAGACTAGCTATCATGAGTTTCGCCAAGTACGATCTTGGCTTTGTTCAGTAAAAACTTTTTGATAAATTCCCTATAAATTGTAGTTTGGCGATGTTATACCATTTTTTTTTTACAAAAAACCGAAAATATTTTATATCAAAGAAGTCTAAACAATTATTGCAATATATTGCAATATCTAAATATATATATCATTTTGTAAGCAACCATTGATTGTAATCATTTAACAATTTTAAAGAGATATATGTTTAGGGTTTTTTGATTATATTTTTGCAAGATTCAATTTTAGTTGTTTTCAGTATAAAACTTTGAAAGTCTAGAACTTTGGTATATTGTATATATCTTACTGTACATTTTACTTTTTTTTTTTCTTGGTAGATGTTTGATCTATTACATTATTTTGATCACGAATTATTAATGTGACTTATATGTAAAAATCTTTTGCTCATTTATTTGAGTATTCTTTTAGAATAGTGGAGTAGTCCTTTGTCCCTTATTAAATTGTTTTAATAACAATTAAATAAATATCTCCATGAATTTTAATCAGAAATATCTATAAATTTTGATTAATTTTCATTTAATTTTTAATATGCTATATTCTTATTTATAAAAACTAATACTTGAAATCAATATATTAGGTTTCAGTTCGTAGTTCGCACGCAATCTTAACGCTATCGATTCGCAAGGTTCTGTAGGCCCTAATTGAAGTAATTAAATAGATTATGATACTCATTAACTTTAAAAGTAGAAAGTTTGTGTGTTATTCGGTATAATTACGTACTGTTTATTAATGGCAATGTTAGTTGAACCATTAGTGGATTAAATCACTCTGTAGTCATCAGTCATCTGGTGACCACCTGGATACAAGACTCTATTATTTAGTTTATATAAAAAGAAATTGTAGAAATATTCTAAGGTTCATAAAAGAGTATTTGCAACAAAAAAGAAACTGTTAAGTAAACTATTAAATAATTTGCATATTGTAAAAATAATTCTATATAAGAGTATGTAAACAAAAAAATAAACCGTAAAAATTAATGGGTGATTTATGAAAATATGTATTTCTTTATGCCTAACAGCTGATTGTTATATATATCAGATATATATATATAACATAATATAAGTTCATTTTCTGTTAGCTTAAAAAAAAATGTTAGTTCAAATATGTGCTATTAGCTTGATTAAATAAAAATATTTATTTCATAAATTGTAGTGCATATATATATATATATCATTATGGATATATCTTGTCGCATTTTATAAAAAAAATTTCAAATATATGTTATAATTTATCCAGAGCTTAACATTTCTTCTCATGTAGCAGCTGCTATAAGTATGCTATTTATATATATAAAAATATATATTTAAGCATTTATTTTTTTTTTTTAATTTAAAAACAAAATGTTAAGCATTTTGTTGACAAGTAAAAAATGAAATGAACCAAAAAGCTGTCTATCTCTTTTTGAAAAACGCAAAAAATATATGTGAAAACATTATTCTTTTAAAAAACAATGCTTTAGATACTCTATTTCAGTATAAAAAAATTGTCAACGCTTTGAGTGATAAGTGTGCAAAAACGCGTTTATTAGTATATATATATATATATATATATATATATATATATATATATAAGATACATATATAAATGCGTAATAAATAAAATTTTAATTTTTAATAATTAATTTATTTTTTAATATACCAAATTTTATATATTTTTGTGCTGAATCTTAGAAATTTTCTAGAATTTTGGCTACTTTTTATATTTTTTTTATTAGTAAAAACGATGAAAAGTATATAAAACATCAGAAATATTTTCGTTCTATTTATTAAAAATGTTTCATAAAATCTTAAAGCGTTTTTTGCGTTAAAATTATTTAAGATTTTTAATGCAATTCGCTTCGATTTGCGGACAAAAATAGATGCAAGATTAATTCTAGAAAAAATAAATTTGTTTTCTATTTCATTTTCAGTTTTTTATCTTTCAATAATATTTTTTTATTGTATTTTTTTCCACCTGGTGGTAATTATTCATTGAACGTTAAGCATATAACACAATTTTATGTTTGCAATATTCTAATTAATAATAAAATTTATTAGTTTTTTCGAAATAATATAATATTAAAAAAATCTGTTCTAACCAATTATCAAATAGATCAATACATTTTCTTTTACTTATAAGAAATGTAATAGTTGAGATACCGACACATACTGACCCTCTCAATAGATATTACCAAAAATACATATTCTTAAAGGTTGATGTAACACAACTATTATTTTAGTAAATTCAATAGAACTATTAATTATAGGAGAGGGCACAATAGACGCGACTGTCGCAGTGCCACATCCCCTAACAATAATAATTTATTATAGGGATAATCATGATTTGGATTAACGAGTTTTGTAAAAAAGTAACAAAGTCACATATGTTAATCTTACATCGTTATGGCAGCAATATCCAACTGTATAAGGTGTAATCATATATCACAATCTCGTAAAAAGTACTCGATATCTATTTGACACTTTACGGTGGTACTCGGTGTGGTAGTCTATTCAAGATCTTGAGTATTCCTTATAGTATTTGGCAACTTAGTTCGTTATTGGAGATTGTAAATTAAAATTACAATATCCATTAACAATTATAAATAAATATTAAAATTTATTTTATTATTAAATTGTGTTAAAGCAGAAGTCTTGAGTTCAGTCAACAAATAGTTATAAAATATAACATTGATATTTTATTCTATGATGACAACAATAAATCATAATAATACAGACTTTGAAATATTTGAAAATATATGCCCTAAGTTTTCTCAATATATTCGTCAATCACCTAGTTCTTGCGCTTGTAAGGCGGCTATTAAGTTAATAAAATCCATGGATGTCTCAAGGTCTCCAAAATATTTAATATTTGCTTTTATATTATCTTAAAAATAATTCTGTGTTTATATTTCATAACTAACAAAAGTTTAAGTAGCATATTATATATAATAGATTATATATATTATATATAATATAATCTATATATAATAGTGTAAGCTTTTGTCAAACTTCATATATCGTGAAGTTATAACTAATACTTAATCTTTGTATTAAGTGAGAATAAGACTATTAGTGTTATTAATATTTTCTATTTAAAACTTGTTGTTAAACTTGTTTGAGTTACTTGGGTCAAGTGCCTCTCGCACGTCTCACATTTTCTAGATGTTGTACCTTACAGTTCATTAAAACCTTACGAGTCTTCTGCTACTTAAGAATTTCGTAATACCCATAGCATATCTTACAATATGATTTTCGTCTTGTCTCGGTATGTGTCTACATCACCTTTCCTTGTTTTCGTGTATCTTTGTTGTACGCTAGTAAATACTCGCTCCGACATCCACATAATTGATTCAATCCATTTATATTTTTTGATTATGTTAGGATTTTTAAAACACTCCCTATCAACCACAATAAAAGATTATATGAACTATTTTCAACGGTTTTTGATGAAGAGCTGTTTGTGTCTGCCACACAATATGGTACAAGTACAACAAATAATATATAATTGATCATCTTAAATATGGATTTGGTGTACAAATACAAATATGTGACACCATTGACCAGTTTAAGATAGGAGTTCAGTGATTTTTCTAACTTTCTAAACAATCAAATTGGTTAATCAACACTATAGGTATATCGATATACAGAATGTTTATAGGTCTTTCATTTTGGATATGCACTGTCAAATGATCAATGTTGATATTAAAAAGTAGTACACAAAGAATACTAGAATTGCACACGTGTGATCGCGAAATCGGCGTATTAGCTATATAACATATATATATATATATAACTTGAATTAAGCTAAAGTATTAGTTCGGTATATTTTTCGCTCTTAGAATGTTCAATACATATTTTGTTAGCTGTTTCTTTTAGATCTATTTGATTCTCGCAGTAATAAAATTCATTGATTAGATGTTATTTTAGCTATACTTCATAAACGAGTATATAGTGTCCTTTCCCACAACTTAAAGGTACTCTATAGCTATTCATTTCGATAAATTGCCATATATGTATATCTCATTTGATTTTATATATTGGGATGGGTTAAGCATTTCTTCAATCATGTCAATGTGGTTTGTTTTTGCTCTTTAAGTATATAGTACATGTAACAATCTCACGTCATCTATCTTCAACAGATATCATTTAAGCTCTCAGGTCTTCTTGATTTTGTGAATTTTTTTGGTCTTCTAGATGTTTTCAATTGAACTTTTAACTGACCCGTTTCAATATGTATTAAGAGATACTTAAGTGAAATGCTTATTACAGTTTTAATTTTATATTATTAAATGCTTATTGTAGTTATTATATTATTATTTGGTTATTATTTTTTTTTTTTTTGCTGCTGTGTTGGATAAACTCTAAAGTTTTTCGTTGAAAAGATGTTTTCGGTAGATTTATAAATATAAATTTATAAGGCTTTTAATTGGACCAAGTTATAATTATTTCTTTTATATAGAAGAGAATTTACCTGTAATGATTGAAAATACTTGCTGCAATTATTTGAAATAAATAATAACTAGAGTATTTTTGCAATCACTGACTTTATTAGGAAGACTATTAAATTTCTAAGTATTTTGTATTATGTATATACTGAAAAATTATATATAATTATTATATTATATATATAATATATAATATTATATATATTATATATTATAATAATTATTATATATATATATATATATATAACAATTTGTATTTCTAATCTGAAATATATGTCCTCTTTCTATCTAGAGAATGATTTAGAGTTTTCTAACGTTTTTTTTTATTATGCGACAGACGATCAAAGTAAATTGGATTATAATTAGTTAATGTATTTTTATTTTATACCAGAAGGATTTTAAAATATAGGAAATATCGCAACTATTATTGATATATAATATTTGTAAATAAATGTTAGAATAACTCATTATGTGTTAAAAATATAGAATTTTACATCTAAAACTACATAACATTTATCTAAAAAAAATTTAATCAATCTGTTTCTATAATTGATATGAAAAGCAAATATGGTATATAAATTTCGTATTGTATTAATTGGTTAAATAGTATTGTAAGCGCTAAATTGCTCGGTGTTTCTACTGGGATTATGATTAAATAATGATTAAATAATATTTAAAAATGTTATAATTTTGACAATATATGAAATAGATACGAGTATTTTCTAGTAAATAATAATTTAAAGTCGTCATTCTAAAGGTTAGATTAGGTTTTAAGCGTATCTGCTGCAGAATCCATCTAGCCCATCTATGCATACGTTGCCATATCCAAAAACTCATATTTTAGAATGTGGTTTTTATAGAGAATATCTGTGTTACATGTATTCAATTTCTCTTCTTTAAGAAAAGAATGTGATCTATTCTTTCGATCTAGCGATTATTATCATAATCTCCACAGAACTACTCCTAAGTAATTTTAATTACTTTTCAAAAAATGCAAATTTTTAAAATGGCAGCAATTTAATATTTTATAATATTAATAAAATTTTATAAAAACGTGCAGTTTGTTTTAAATAAAAATAAAAAACAATTTGAACTAATTTAAGCACTTGAAGTCAAAATATTAAATATCTTGCTGAAGGCAATATGTGCGCGGAAATTTATATCTATGTTCAGAGGAAATTCATCCAAAAATTTTACTTTATCTAAAAATACAACAGTTGTGCTGGAGATTTTGCGATTGCAAGAATCTTGTGGATAAGCAACATATTGAATGCTGTATTTTATCGCTCAACCGCATTATAAAATTTTGGGCGAAATTCCTTTAGCAATTAAGAAAATATTTACAATAGGAATGTGATTGTTTATAAAATTAATTAAAAAAAAAAAAAAAACTACATATGTGTGTAGTAAATGCGTATCTAATTTGGTAGTCTCTTGAATATAAATTACCACATTGTCAATCCAAAAATTTTGGCAATGTCAGTAGAACGTGTTCATGTCAATATAATACAAAATGTTTTATTTTTAAATAAGTTTTCAATTTGATTTCTCTAGTCTAACATAATATTTCGATAGATACCCGTATATTTATTTAAATTTTCATATTGCTCTCTTATGTATCTTTCAGATGACGTTAATGCCCAGCAGTAATTATGCCATAAAATTGCAATTATAGCCAAAAGGCGCAAGATCTTGAATACATTATGGTAAATAAAAACAAAAGCAAAGCAAAAACAAAAACAAAAACAAAAACATTTATAATAATTAATATTTCATATATATAAAATTAACAAAAATGTTTCTCATACGCAGTGTGTGACTAAAAGGGGTACATTTGAAGATCAATTCGAAGAGAAAATGCGCAAATGTTCAAGCAACAACAAACCAGAAAATCTAAAGCAATATGGATTGGAACGGATCGGATCGGATGTGCACACACCAAAATTACTGTACACAGATGCAGAAGTGATCTTAGATACACATATAGGTAAATTGGTGTGTCTGCCGCCTCACGTCTCCACTTCACGTTGGGCAGATTGTGGCCGCGGCATTTACGTCATCGTTAAATTTCGTTTATTTTAACATGCATACAAAAACAAATCATTTAAAAAATATATAAATTATTTTTTAGTTATAATTAAACAAAAGTGCCAAACAAAAGTATAAAAACAATATTTAAACTAACAAAAGTTCAAAAAACAATAAATAAGATCAACAGCACAAACCATAACAACAAAAATTGTTTTTCGGGGTTTTGTTAGGGATTAAAGGCACAAGCAAAAAAGAAACAATTTAAGCCGAAATGTAGGGTGTAGAAATATTTAAATAACTAAGCAGAAAATTTAACAGCACACACACAAAAGAAATTAATGTTAAAAAAATATATAGAAAACTAATTTTGGTGATGAAAATAATTTTAAATATTTACAAACAGAAAGTAATTTCAAATTTTTTCTAAATTAAATTCTTTTTTTTTTGCAGTTCTAAAGTTCTAAGAAAAATAAAGTTAAATTTACAGATCGCTTTTAAGAAGTTGTTTTATCTTAAAATACAAAAAATTAAAAAAATGTTGTTTTATTTCAATCAAAAGAATTTAAATGCGCTCAGAGTGTTTTGAAGTTTTCATACATAATAAAAATTTTTTTGAAGATAATATTTCAGTTTCTTAAAATTTCAAAAAACAATACATCATGCAATATTTAGACTATTGTATTTACATCGATAGAAATACAGCAATATTTCCCATTTTTATGAGAATATATAAATTACATAAAACAGATTCGATAAGTCAGAACATATGTAGTAAAACTGAAATAAAAATGTTCCAGGCATATTTACATAAACTTAGTAAATTTATAGCATTTTTATAAACAAATACAAAAAGTATTTAAATTTAAGAAGCGATAATCTAATCAATATAATAACTTATGAAATCTATTTTGATATCCCTGAAGAGAGTTTCTTGAGCTCATCTGCATACAAATTTACGGTCATCAATAAACTGAGCAATATATTATGGTTAAGAATCCAAAAAGTCAATGAAATTCCTCTCCAGAACTCCCATGACACGAGGATATAAGAAAAACGGATGTTTTATTTTTTAGTATGTATTTAGTAAATTAGTATGTATGTATGTATTGAAATTGCTCTCCAGAAATTCCATGACACGAGAATATAAGATATACGTAAGTTTTATTTTGTCTTTATAAAATTTATATGTATATTTATTATTTAGTGCCCTCTTAGTGCCATCGTGTTAGTTCAAATACAAACTTAATGACTCAAGCTTAATGACTTTTTGAAAAATGCTATGACCACACAATATCGTAATAAGATGAAAATTTATATAGAGTATTATAAGTACAACAGTCAAAATTTTATATATTCATTAGTTTTGCCATACAATATTTTTATACTAGACTAATTTCGCAAACAGTGAAGGTCAATATGCAAGGAAGATTTAAAAGTGTAGAATATTTTGATATGAAAATGGATGCCAGAGCATTCTAATATAGTAGGAAATGAGAGCGAAGACAAGCTGACGAGGCGCCCCTTCTACGGATACCCCTATTTCAATCCCTACTCCTACCAAGTTGATTTATGACCATTTTTTGTGACAGGCAAATAGCGAATGCGCCCATACTGCTTCAGTACTCAGGTAAAGTACTACATGACCGAGCTATTCCAAATGTACAAGATCTAACTTGATACACAGAAGTATCAAATATCTAGGTATCTAGGTTACTATCTGTCTTTGCAGGGCAAAGACTGGCCCATAGGACGGCATGGAGCTAGCCTCGGTATACCTTGTAGTATCTACTGCAATGCGTGTCTAGTAGATTCAGGATACAATTCTTGACATACTCATATAAAAATTACACCTTTAAAATCGTTCTCGATTCACATCCTCATTCATAAAGGCTTTTATGGACTTAAATAACTTCAATCCTCTTTGAATTTACATGTTTTAATAAAAATACTACAGAATACTAGTCTGGAAAAAAATGTGTAGTTACTTAGTATATGCATATATTATTGGAATATATTTTATAAAATACTTTCAATAATATTAAGAACTTTGTTGCCGAATAATACTGGAGAACTTGAGGTTTTATTTTTGGAATACAGAAGTATTGAATGAATAAAATTACTTTATTCGCAAATATTATTCTTTATTACTTTAATACTTTATTACTAAATTCTTAATTTACACATAACACAATATAACACACTCAGAAATTGGAACAGGCAATGCGAGCGCTGTAAATGAATGTGAAGACTTCTTGAGCTCTATAAAAACGTATTCAAGCTGCGAGTACTATATACAATATTTATAAACTTACAATTTTTCAGCATGACTTGAACTCATGTAGGCATACAAACAGGAAATAGGCACAGGAAATGCCTATTTTTGATAATGCTATGTTTTATCATAAGATACTGTTATATTCCTTTAGTACTACCTTTAGTGGATGACATATTAATGCAAAATATGAAAAATGATGTATATATACGAATAGAGATTTTGTGAGCTACGTCTGCTAAGAATATTGATTAGTAAAATGTGGAACAATACGAGTTAAAGACTTGAAGTTAAATACTCTAATCAGTATGGAATATTATTTATGGAGGAAGCTTTGGCCGACACACCTGTCTGTAATATTGAAATTAATTATTATATATATTACACTTGATGCTTGAATTTTTATTATATATATTTTTGAAGTATATAAGTAATTAAGATCTGTAAGGTTGTTTGCTAACAGTATCAACAAAATATTAATAATTGAATGAATAAGTTTTTTTATGTCTGATATTTTCATATATTCTGCAAACGTAAAATTTACTTGATCACGTCGATAATTGCTTCGGCAATTATTTTTTGAAAGCACATATTCAAAATCAGGTTCAATCGATTGGGTGCACCTTTCCTTAAGATCCATTGTGTTTGTATATGTTTTTTCGAATTTTAACTTCTCACTTTTGTGCATTTTATCTTTAACCCGTTCAAGACTTGCATTTTTTATTGCAGTTGCATAACTGCACTTGTGTTCCGAAGCTTGCATTGTCGGTGTTAAAGCGAAACTCTGATGCAGCTGCTTATATAGTATTTCTTTTTTCCAATTGAACATGATTACTACAGTCTGTAATATTAGGTAATGATACTCTGCACCGCTAGCTTACATTTGAAGACAACAATTTTGCTTACGTAAAGCAACTTGCCATATAATTTTTAACCAAGCCAAAAGTTGCCAAATTATGCAGTGAATGCACAAAGAGACAATGCAAAGGAAGTGCAGTCTGTAATTGTTTTTACAATTGCCTAATTTTCTGATTTATTAACTGCTTTTCAGTTAACAAGATTTTAATGTTAAATCGTTAAAGGTTTTGGTTATTAATTACTGAAAATTAAAATCTACTTTTACTACTTTTATTAAAGTCACTAAACTTAGTCACTGAACTTAGATACTTTTAAGTCAATTTATTTCATAAAGATGAAAGTCAATTATATGTACATATTTACTATATATATACTGTATTATATTTAATGAATAAAAAAATTATGAAATACGAATAAATGGAATTCAGAAAAAATATAAAATTGATCTTATTTCTCGATGATATTAAATCTACTCCACCTATTGCCAAAATCTCCGAAGGTTGGTAAAGATTAAAGAGTGTGAAGGATTTAACTGAAACTTAATTTTGTCACTTAAAAATAGAATACTATATAAAAATTAAGAACATTCATTTAACTTTAGTGAGGATACTAGCTAGATTGTATTCAGAAGAAATCTAATCAATGCATAACTTTCTCTCCTATCAATTTGTATTATTATTATATTTTTTTTCTAGTAAATGAAAAAATGGCCCCTATAAATATAAATTACTATTAAGATAATATCGATATAATAGATATATGATGACTGCCATTATCACCATTATCACAGAAATACTTGATTGTTATTAGGTTCTAAATAAAAGAAATGAAGAAAATCTTCAATTATTATTGACACTGCCATTAACGCGTTTACCTCTTCTTAAAGTAATCACATAATATATATTTATTAAATATAATATAACCTTATCAGTTGCCTTTACTGCTATCGCATCTGCAAGAATGGGCTTGCCGGTGAATGAGGGAAAAACGAAGTAAATATCGACTACATACACGCCGACATATACATATACATATATGTGCGCCGATCGGACGCTAACCTAGTAGCTGACGACTATACTTCCGAATTTGTCAAGCACTTTATCTACCTTGGAACCGTCATGACGAACAACAATGATGTCAGTCTGGAGATCAGATGAAGAATCACCATTACATATAAGTGCTACAATGAGCTCAGTAGCACTGAATGCATGTAGAGGGATCACTCAACAAACAAAACTTAAGTTCCATAGGTTGCTCATTTTTCCTGTACTTATGTATGGTGCAGAAACATAGACGCTGTCACAGAATGATAAAGCAGCACTGGGAATATTAGAGAGAAAACTTCTTCGTACGATCTTTGGTGTTTCATAGAGGGAGAGGGAGAGAGAGAGAGTTGGTGACGATCACCGTATTCGAATGAATCACGAGTTGTGTAAACTTTCTTACGATATTACGATAATTTAGCTAATTAAAATCCAGCGGCAACGCGGTTTTAGTCATGTCGTGATAATGCATAAGGAATGCTTCAGTGAAAAAGCCATTTGAAGCGGTAGTTGGAGGAAAAAGGCATAAAGGTAGATCGTGGCGGAAGTGAAATGATCGATCATGCTGAGGTAGCGGTAATTGGACTTCATGTAAGAGACTGGAAATAGTGGGCTGGAGAGACATGCTTCGTCAGTCCGACGAATTATTACTAAGTTAAAATACAAAATCCTGTTTTTAGCATCTATCAACCCTTTTGTTGAAATTTTTTATAAGAGTCTCTACCTTAGTCACATATCTTAAACTGTTTTTACACCACTCCTAGCAAGTCAAAAATATTATATAAAAATATTTTTCTTATTTCATAAATATTTAAGTAAGTAATTTTTTTGCAATTTCTTTTAAATTACATATATCAAATCGGCGAACCTTTCAATTTGTAAAATTTAAAACAGTTTATCAGAGGCGAGGTATATTTATTTTTGGAAAAACAAATCCAAACACGATCAAAGGCTGTTAAATGTAGTATAAGCCAATCTTAAGACCATGTTAACCACTGAACGCTGTGTTTAGTTCCGACTTTTAGCGAGCAGAAGATTTAATATCGTTTTTTCACCAACCTGACTGAGCTACCATCCTTTCAAAGTGGGGGAATACTAAGGTCACGTTTTTAAAGTTATCAGGTTTGTTCATTTTTAATTTAATAAGGATTTTGTGCCTGTGTTTTTCAACTTTGTCAGTGTACCAAAAAATTTTAAAGTCTTGGAGTATTGGAGTAATGGACTGGCTCTGCCTTTTTGCCTGGTTCTATGTAGGTCAACGATAGTAAGGCTTATGCAATATATCGTTTATTTTAAGTGTTATTTTATTAAAAATTAAAATAAATTAATGAATTTTTAAATTTTAATCTGCTTTATTTACAATAACAATGAATACCAAAATGTATTTATAAAACCCTTAATGGAAAAAAATAATAACAATAAAAATGATAACAAGAAAGGTGATTAAATATAATACAAACAAAAACTTTAAGATGCAATTAATAAAAACTTAAATAATTTAAAAGTTGATTATGTGTGAATCAGTCTTAACTCGCTTTATGTTGTGTTGTCAAGTATTCATCTCGAAGACTGCGCGTCATTTGATGCCCAATACGTATGCGCATCCATTCTGGAGCCAGTTTCATAACGAAATACTGAAATGTAGGAAGATTTAGATATAAATTCATTTGATTAAAATAATATATTCAAATTAATTTAGGATAAAGATAAAGTCTCTATATGATAATATTTTATGTATGAATCAATAAAAATCATATATAAACTTTTTAACCAAACTAAATATAATAATTTTAATACAAATTTAAAAATATAATATTGAATTAATCAGAATTTTCTATTTTTATTTATTACTTATGTTTATTAAATCGTTATTATCTTCAAATATTTTTAATTCAAAAGTAAGTTTTCAACTAAAAATCAAAATTAAAAATATTTATGAATTACCCACCTGTAAGCCATGCGTCCAGTATCCTGTCGTCTCAATAGTTTTTCCCAATGTGAATACTGCGGAACGTGTGAAGCTCTTAACATTCGGTATTAGGAAACCACCTTTCATAACTGTATTCGAATATTGATTCATTTTAGTCACCAGAAATAGAGGTGTGACGCATTGTACTGTAATGTTGTATTCAGCCAATTCACGTTCCATCGCTTGCGTTAAACACTTGACGTAACGTTTTGTTGCTGCATATACTGCCATCAATGGTATGGGTTGCAATTCACTACCCGATGAAATATTAACAATAGCACCTTTCTTCTGCTTCTTCATATATGGAATTATCATCCGAGACATCATTGTTACTGCAGCCACGTTAATGTTAATCATATCCCATAATGTATCCTCGGGTATATTATCGAGTTCATCGGGAAAGTCATACATTTTTCCAACATTGTTTACTAAAATATAGAAAAATGAAAATCAAAAAAAAAATATTTTCATATCTGCTATATTCATATCATATCATATTAACACTAGTTTAGATATTCTGCAATAATTTCAATCCAAAAAATATAGATCCCCTAGTTTTTTACTAACACAAATATAACATATGTTTTTACATATAAAATATTTGATTTTAAGATATAGTTCTTAATATCTCAAAATATTGAATAAGATAAAACTGACAATGTTGCAAGACTGTAATGCCCACACCGCTCAAATTTTTTATTAAGGCAATACTTAGTCATTAATAATAGTACCCAATATATGTGAAATGGACTTCGTGGGTTTAATGGCGCTTCATTAAGCGTATTTCATAAAAAAAGATTTCATAAAAATTTATTGTTCTTTATAGAAATATATAATTAATAGATTAAAAGATAAGGTTTTAATATTTCAAAACTAAATTTTCGAAACTTAGTTCCAAAATTTGAAAACTTGTGAACAAGTCTTACCACTAAATATAAGTACACATATTGTTGACATCTATAACTAAACTTTAATTGATATATCGTATATATGATATATTGCAATTAGATTAAGTTTTATACGCATGCATCATCCTCGAAATTTTAAAAATTTATGATAGTAACGTAAGGTTGGACGGACCTGGACCTTACACTTCAATGACGTCATTGATATCAATCTTATAGTTTTGGTTAATATAATTATAAAAACAAAATTTAAGCGGATGTTGCTGGACTATTTGGTAGAAGAAAGTTAGGGAATACAAAAATTATATATACATCTAATGGATATTCAAAAGTATACATTTTAATGAGTTTAATGACTTTATTCTAATTAGACATAATTTGTAGTATTATTTTGTTATTTTGTATAACATTGTTTATGATATTTAAGATTGTAATTAAATCTTAGTTGTCCGTTATAGTTGTGAGTGGTGCTTGGCCGAATGGTGGGGACAGTGTACATATGCTTGTTCAAGCTGTTTATAGAAAGTTTCCTTTGTATCGTCATCTTTATCTTTCGTCGGGGCGTGCGCACAAATTAAAGTAATGTAGAAATATGTTGCCTTAATAAGGATTTTTGCGAGCCTTTGATTTATTGGTGTAAATGTTGAGACCAAATTTCTCAACTTTCGGCTTACCGCAAATCCGACTCCGAATTCGTGCTTTGTTGCATGGCAGCTGTAGTAGATGTCACAATGTTTAGAGTATTCTTATGCAGCCCATCGCATTTCCAGTAGGACGGTAATGTCAACCTTATAATTCTTGGGGATATTAAGCCAAGAAATATACATAGATGCACTTTCGGACATTCCAGTTGCATATTTTTTAAATTTTTAAACGTTTGCGTTTGTCGTCATCAGTAGATCATTTCCTTATCTGAGGCTGCCTCTTCGTTTGCATTGAAAGGAGTTTTTAAGTGATGTGTTCCATGCCCGACGCATAACCTTATATATCCATGAGGAGGATTTCGCTGCACACGTTAGTGCACTACGCACGTATGATTGTAGCTATCCAGAGTGGGTCACGCGGAGGCTGTGTGTTAACTTATAGAGAACAGTGACAAGGATCGCGCTGGCATTTACTATGTTAAATGCAATCAGACACTTTACCTTCTATGTTCACTCCCTCCAGTGGCGTCGCTAGGCGTCAGCGATGTCGGCGACCGCCGACGGCCTCGCGCCCGCAGGGGCCTCGCAAAAAGTTACCGACTGTGGATTCTAAGCACTTAATAAATATTTTGAGCAATTTGATTTGATAATGGCATTAACTATATTCGAAGTATCGAATATAGTTAAGTATATTCCCTAATGTTTATATAGTAATCAGACTCATGTTCACAGTTCCAGTCAGTATAGCTTCGACGAAAAGAAAGAAGCAAAGTTAAAAAAAGTTTAAGACGTACTAGAAAAGTATGATGGTCCAAGAGAGACTATCTTCATGATGATATAATTTAAAAAAAAATGGGGTGATACTAAAAGTATGAAAATTCATTTATTTTAATTTGTGTTTATTTTAAATTGATTAGCAATAAAACTTTCAATCATGCTTTGTCTTATTAGTGAATGTAACTTATTTACTTTTACAACTGGGTTATAAAGGGGGCCTCGCAATTCTGATGTCGCCGATGTGCAAAGTTTGTCTAGCTCCGCCACTGACTCCCTCATATTATCACCCCCTATATATTGATTGTAATTAAATCAATAAATAAAATTATTTATTTCTTACTTTTAAACAACAACTATAATTCATTCTTAATGTTTATTAAAACTTATAAATTGCATTTGTAATGCAAAAAATTGGTTATAAAAATTTTTTCATTGAGCCCGCTCCATTGGAAGTTTCTAGTTCAACGTCTAATTGTGGGTGACTAATATTACACAATTTTGATTTATGATATATGATCATAAAATTGCTATAATAACAATTAATAATTTGGTTGGTTAGTTTTAATTTAAAAATTGAATTTTGCTTATAAAGCAATGACTACGGCTGCTTCAGTTGAATTCCAAATAAAAAAAACAAAAATAATTATAAATTTTTACAACTAAAAATTGTTGAATTATATCTCAGAGTTTAAAAATATGAAAACAATTAACCGTAAACTATTAAAGTAAAAACCATGAAATACAAAAATTGTGTAAATGACACTTTTATACATTTTACCTCTTTCGTTTCCTCAGCTGAGTTGCAAGCTGAGTTCAATAAGTAAACCGTAAATTGTTTAAATACGCCTAAGCCATGACAAGGTTGAAATTTTAACTACCTGAACTTTTTTGTGGTCTCTTATATCTGTATCTCACCAGCTAGTAGCTACCAATGAAAGCCAAATATTTATGTAACTCCGTAGATGTACGCATGTAAGTAGACGTACACAACTGCATACAAAACGTAAAATCATTGCAATGAAAAAAATAACATTGGTAAGTATCTGTTAGAAGAAGTAATTATAAGGTTTAGCAAAAAAAAAAAACTGAAATTAAACGTTAATTTTGTTTATTGTCAAAACTTGCAATGGTTCAGCATTGAAAATTATTCAACCTTTAAAAATATTTAAGCTTAACTCATAAACCAAGGCAGACATTACATTGTCGACAATGAAACTCATGATTTATTTTAAAATCTGTAAAAATAATAAACATATCGCAAAGATTTCGCCTCAGATGCCTTTGGTTGTACTCGTATGTACATCTCGCTTCTCTGCTATAATAATAATAATAATAATAAGATAATAAAAATTTAATGATTTTTCTTTTTACAGTTCATTTAAACTTTGCCTTAAAGTTTGTTCAATCGCTGTGTTTATCTACAAAATAAACATTTAAATTAATATTGACCATCGCCAAGTTAAAAAATATTTTCCGTTTTTTATTTGAATTTTCCCCATCAACTGTGCATTAAAATTTGTTTATAAACAAGCAAATTTAGTTAATTAAATAAATAAGCTACTAAAATGAGAAAAACAATATTTAAACAGAACATATTATCGAACAGGTTAAATAAATAATTGCAGACAATTAGGAAAATTAATTTTCGTATTTGTTTGCACTTTTAAAATGAGGTGGAATCTATATAAAACTTTAGACAGTGGGTCCAATCGTCCAATAGAAATAGTATTAGAGTAAGAGTGTTATACGAGTACTCAACTAAATGAATGTCCAATTTAATGAATGGTAACTTTCTGCCATTGACTATACTTTTACTATAAAACTTTAGACAGTGGGTTCAATCGTCCAATAGAAAGAGATATACGAGTACTCAATTAAATGAATGTCCAATTTAATGAATGGTAACTTTCTGTCATTGACTATACTGTATACTCTATATAATTTATCTCTTCTTAATCTTTTCTTAATATATTAAATAAAATATTTTACCATTTGGAATATTTAGGACTTTAATAAAATAGGCTAAAGAAAATAATACATGGTTTAAGAAGGTTAACAGAAGCATTGAAATTAATTTAAGGTTTTTCACATCATATTTTACAGTTATAATTATAACCACACTTCTGAATGCAATTTTTATTAACATAATTTGACGTCGAGAACCGTATCAAGTAGGCAAAACAAGCGTTTAGTCGCTTAAATAAAGCCTTGTTCTCCAGACTTTAGTTATCATGTCGAAGTAAAATACGAATATTTAACTCCAACATAAAATCTTGCCTCTTATATGGATGATATAATAGAGTTAAGGTGATGAATCACCAACTCAGACATCTGCATATCAACATCAACATCCTATATGGATGTCAATCTTGGTATGCTGCGGCAAAGGGCATCAGTGCACTACAAGTTTTCGAAAATCCGTCATCACGCAAAATTGTTAAAGTATTTTGGTCAAATACAATTCAAAATGGTCTTTACGTTTATTGTCTTTAACTCAACAAAAACCTATAAGAACCGAAATCAAAAAACGCAAATGGAACTGGGCCGATTACAGTTTAAGCATACCGACTGGTGACACCAAAAGAATGGTGATTAAGTGGAACCCGTTGGGTAGCAGAAGAAGGGACGAAGACAGTTGGAGAAGGGAAACTGATATGGAAATGTCTCACAGGCGGAAATGCTGGGGAGAGTTGAAACTACTACTCAACAATCGTACCGAGTGAAATATCTTTCACTCTAGGAGGCTCTATGCTCCTCCTAGCGAATACCAACTTTTTTATCACTATTGTGCTATAACAACCTAATAACTAACATATATAATTTAAGAATGTTGTTTACTGGAAAAATTGGCTACTATAATCTTATAAAACTAAAAAATTATGATAATACGAAAAAGTTTTACAATTCAAAACAATCTATTTATAATTATAATTTTAGAAATAACAACACAATGCTTACCAAGGATGCCAATAGGTATTCCGGATAGTTCTTGCTCAATGTGTGTATAGATTTCACGTCCTTTGGAAAAGTCTGCTGCAATCCATTTCGTTTTTACTTTGAATTCGCTTTCTATACAAAAAAAAAAAAACAAATTTATTTTAATTAGTATTTCACAATAAAAAATAAAACATTAGATAAATAAATTTATATGTGTATATATGTTTAATATAAATATATATATATATATAATGTATAAATAATATACATAAACACATAAAACTATTATTTTCCGAGGCACAATTTTCTACAACTTACCATAAATAAAAAATACTGCACTAATAAAAGTTTTTATTCTTTTTCAATTAGTTTAATATATTATAAATGTTAGCTTTAAATAAATTATAGCTAGAAAAGATCCGGAATATATTGAATCATTTGAAAATTTGTAAAGAAATGCTTCATTAATTCATAACGACAGATTTTGATATTGATACAATATTGGTTTTAAAATGCACGCTTTTTTAAACGTTCACTAAGTTGTTCAGCAATTCATAAAATTCATTTGTTTTTATATTTATTTAATATTTTTCATTCAAGTATTTTTTATAAAAATATGAATTAAATGGTAAGTGAAATTCAAAGAATTTATTTGTCGATTCTTGAAAGTTCATCCCTTTCCTCAACTTTCAGACCCATAACACTGCAAAATTACACTAGTGGACTCTTAAATATTTAGTTAGAATGGGGTCTATAAGGGGTAAAATGTATAAATAAATAAAATTTTTTAGATACAATCTAAGCGTTTAAATATTTCTTACTAAATAAGTTAACGAGTCAAGTGATATTTTATAATACATATTTTTTTTTTTTTATTATAAGGCTTATTAAGTATAGCACGACATTGGCAACACACAAAGGTCCTCAGCTGTGAAATGTTATGAAAAATATTAGTATGTAGCATATTTAACAAATATTCTAACACGGAATTAGTGACTTATGCTTCTTCCATAGCATATATAAGAAATTTACTATTATAATAAAAGTGAGCTATGAATGATTTATATATAAAATTATAGATGAAATCTTTTAATATATGCCGCTTGACTACCTTAGTGTTGTTTTCAAATGAATTATGTTTATAATTTCCATAAATTGATGAAATATTATAATTTTGACTAACTCTTTCGATAAAGATTTGAAAGACATTTTTAAGAGAGAATGTAAAATTAATAGTGGATTAGAAATCTTGATTTGTAGCAAGTGATTTGTTATTTGAAGTCTATAGTACTTGGAGTTGGAATCTGCTTCGAACTATTTAAATATTAGATGGTAACATAACTGGATATTTTATGCTAAGACTGTTGATAATTTTATAAAAACTATTCATTCAATATTAATAGTAAATGTTTTTTTTTGTATAATCTGAATTATTCAGAAAATTGGAGAGGAGATATGTGAAAATGAAACATATGTACATATATATACTATGTAAAAAATATGTGAAATTTATAATTAAAAAGATTCATGTCTTTCGGTATGATAGTTCGGATAGAACTATGGTCTTCTTAGTAATAAGTATCTAATCGAGTGGAACGGCTAGATTAAGACCAGTTAGGAACAGTTAAATATATAAGTTATATCGAGGCTATGAATTAGTTAAGCGTATTTATATTTAACGGATTCGTTAGATTGGTTACATGAACGGTTTAAAATGCTTTGATTTGGAAGTTATTTGATTCGCTGTATGTCCAGATTTTCGATTGAAGAATTAAGTTACTAAGAATAAAAAGGCTTTGTGTACTACCAAGAGGCGACAGCAAGTCGGAGATGGGTCTTGTGGGCAGAGGCTAATAGACCAAGGATGACACTTGTTTGCGAAAGCCAACATATTAAGCAATGTAAGTATTGAATTTAAATAGTTGTGTTCGTAGACTAGTCATTGTAATATGTATCATTGTAGTTGTTTTATTAATTATTAAATAATATATGAATATTTATGATGTGAAAATTGTATAGTAAGGTTGTATATAAAGTTTTTCATTACATATTTTGAAACATTTACTAAAATTTTGTTCATTAAAGATATGTTTTATTTTATTATTTAAATCTTTTGTATTTAATAACTTACCAATTTCATTGGCCACAGCAACCAGTTTCTCCTTTGTTCGTGAAATGAGTACCACATTAACGCCTTGTTTGGCTAATTCCTTAGCGTACTCTTTACCGATGCCATCCGTAGCACCTGTGATAACTGCAAAAAGATATTTTTAATAAATAAAAGTAGTACGAAAGGTGAAAAAAGTTTAACAATAATAAGCGAAATGTTTTTTAATTAGCACGCATTTGATAATTGGTTATATTCGCTGCAGTAATGAGCATATTGGGGTTTAATAAGGTTGCCTTTAGTGTTAATTGAATTTGTATCTTGGAAGTTAAATACGAAATCCATCAATGAAATTATTTCTAACAAAATTCATGCAGATGTGAAAATAGTTTTCTTGAAATTAAAATTCACACTGTATTTAGAAAATAAAAAAAATATTCAAATATTGTTTGTGGGTTTATTGCTTTGAGATTTGAATGCTTCATTGCAACCAAATGCAGCTATGAACTTTTTGAAATATCTGGTCAAGTTGCACTCAGTGCAATGTTTATTCAACGGAAGCGGTTGAAGCTGTGAAGCGAAGGTGTATTCCAAAATATTGCATATTGAAGTGTACATTAAAGTAAATTTACTTTACCATGTGTTTTCAAAATTTTGCAATTAATATTGTTTGTATTCATTAGCAAGTAACAATATTTGCAAAATCATGTAAATAATTTGGACACTTGGAAGCAAAACAAAATTTAGTACAGGTTCTGCTCGCTTCATGCGGTAATTGCTTAATATTTAGTTAATCATACTTGATATTTGAGAAAAACTATATAATCATGTCTAAAAATAAAAAAAATAAGCAAAAAAGTATTAAAAGTTTCTTAACAGTATAGAAGAGTATAGTATAGAATGAATAGAGTCCATTCCTTTAAGATTGATAACCTTATAAATCAGGCTATATAATCGGTTAACATTGAAACACCAACATAAAGGATTAACATTATTGCCAATGTGATAAATCTACGATAGGAATACCAAAGCTGTAATAAGAACGGAAGCAAACAGATTTTAGAAAGTGTTTATGGTATAAATGTGTTATACAGCATTAGCACTGAAAGCTAAACCCATCTTATTCTTATAGTTCTTGAAATAATAATAGAGAATAAGTTGGAGAATAAGTTTACTGGTCCATGACTTTAGAAAGTAATTAATTCTTATAATATAGCCTAAATTAAATTTAGACTTTTGTTGGTGGTTAGGCATTTCAACATCGGTAGAGAGATCATCCACAGCAGGTTAGATAGGTTCAATACTTCACATTCAAAGAATAGTCAGGGGTTTTCAAACCGAAGAGCGGCAACAAATTGTTTATAATTATTCGTAAATTTAATATAGTCACTATCAATACAAATGTGAGTTTGAATTCATATCCAAACCCAAAACATTTTAAGCTGAAATCTCGAAAACCCTTAAAAATGTCTGTAGTAAATAATTTAAATAATTGGAATTTCAAATGTGTTAAAAGCGGTATACCGCGATTATCAGCAGTAATGATCATTATTGCTAATAATCATTGCTATTAATGGATAATCACTAAGCATTAAACATTTCTAAGCTTTATTTTATTAATCCATTTGATTACTAAGTAGTTTTTTTTTAGCAGATCAAATTGAATAGTTATGATTTCTGGTGCCAAACCCTTTACAAACATAGAATAACCAATTTTATGGCTTCGAGCGTTAGTGTAAATAAAGTACTTACAATAACAGATATTGAGATCTTTATATATATTTGGACTAGATCTTGATATTAGGTTTTGTTATTAAGGGAACTTATAGTACTGCATTCTTTTGAAGTATTTTTCGATGATTTTTCAGTTGGCAACACTCCGATGAATGTGTGTTTTCCAAGTATTCGTAGTTAAAGGATTGATCGGATGAAAAAGATTTTTTCATAACCATAGAAAAAGAAGAGATACAGGTACTAATATCTTTACAAACTCTGTGCTTGTATATATATTTGTCTGTAATTCATCTTATTGGATTTAGTTTCAGTTTAGTTATTTGCTTAATATAATATATTTTTATTTGTTACGCATATAGACAGTCTTTACTCCTGAAAAAGTGAACGCTGCTATTTAACAGTTCTACGTTAAGACTTTATGTACTTTCTACTACGAAACTCAAATAATGGAGCTAAAGACATTAAATAAAAATATCTCAACTTTTTTGGAGAAGAAAAGTATCACTTTAGTAGTAGTGCAAATATACGTGGACTTAAACGGAAACATGGTGTGGGCAATATTATCAGTTACTATTATTATTAATATAACTCAAGATGTATTGTGACCAAAACAAATCTATTAGTTATAATGTTAGATTTTTGATAAATTTTAGAACGGTTTGGGGTTTGTTGTTTAAGTGTATATATGGGCGCATAACAATACAACCTAAACGTTGTTGTCTTTTGTGTTATTGAAAGTGCTTTTCAAAATTTATGTGGGTAGTGTGAGATAGAAATCCTTTGTCTGGAATGAGATGGGCACTCTAAAAAATACTATCCTAGTTTTCGATGTCAATTTCACGAAATTGACAGACATCGGAAAGATTCAATTTATTTAAGTGGTGCGTCAATTTGACTAACCATTTGCCGATTCAATTATAATTGATAAATGTTCGGGATCAAAGGGTAAAACCCAGATGCAGATGTACCCCAGAATAGTGCTTTTGGCACTGAGCTTCCCCCTGCGTAAGACCATTATGCGTGGTGTAGAGCTTGCATGCGTAAGACATTCTACACGCTGTGATCCTGTTAAGTTGAACATAGTGGATTTAGACCAGAGAATGTCGATAAATAATTCTGGTGGACGAGACGAACAATCTATCCAAGTTAAATATATGCTCGAAGAACAACAATTGCCTCGGAAAAAGATAAATGATCGATTTTAATAAATTAAAATAAATTAATTTTATATTTTATTTTTGATTTTGCTGTTTGATATTTTAATTGTTATTTTACCATTTTCCCATTTTATTTGCTCCATAAAAACTGAATTCAAATTTTTAGGAATATGTATTTAATTCTAAAATTTAGCTTGAATATATACTCTTATACAGATGTTCTGAATATATGAATGTATGCATTTTAATAAACTTTATATATATATGGTACATATAAACTGAGAAATTGAAAAAAAGAATCAACTTGAATTTCGGAATAAAAACTTTTGGATGGTCTATAAACAAATGACATTTCTGAAACTCATTGACACAGCACGCGACAAGAAATATCATTATTATTATTATTTTCAGTTGAAAAACTTTAATTATAAGCAAGAAAAAATTTTGTCATTAATCAGTTAACCTCCGACAATGATTTAACAAATTGTGGATAAAATGAAAAACAACATTATTAAAAGGCTTACTTTTTGTTTAAATAAATTACATATTTATAATTAAATATTTTTTTCATTTTTTATAATAAAAATTTATAAACGGAAAAGCCATTTGTTATAAAAATCACATTATGAAAAAAAAAGAAATCGATTTAAAAATGCTACTGATAGAAATGTTAGCAAATAGTTTATAAAGCCGGGAATAATAAGATAATTATGTACAACTCTAGTAATAACAAATACAAGTAGTCAAGTATACTTTCTTCCATCGTTCCGAAGTTGAATGACATATGTACTTGTATTCATCGTGCTGCTCTGTGATAGTTGCAATAAAAATTTATGCACGTACTGTGCATCGACAAGATACAAGATACAAAGAAAAGCAGCGTTGCATGGCAATTACCGATTGCATTACCACACTTGTTATTGGGTTTTGAAAGAAAGCGCAAAAAAAATAAATTGTTTTTGGCTTAAAATTAAAAATTTTTGAATAAAATATTTATAGTAAACTACAATACAAAACTTAGAGTTCAAATATGGTTACAAGTTAACTGACAATTTATATTTCAGTATTGTAAACATTGTAATCAGTCGAAATCAAAACCAAAAAAATGATATTAAATATCTTTAGTACGGACTCACAGAGCTAGTGGAATGAAGTTCTCAAAAAATTGGAGGAAAGAAAACTTGACAACCACTTGAAAAATAATGTAGACCAACATCAAGCAAAATAGTTTCTTATCACAGCAAAGTAAATATCAAATAAAGTAAGAATACTTCGTTATGCCTGATAGACTTAAAGGTTCTCTATGATTAGTATACAGACTTCAACATTTTCTCTGATCACAGTATCGATTATCGTAACCTGATGTATAAGTTAACTAAGTTGAATAATTCCGACACTGGTGAATTTTGTGAAATACCTACCAGGGTCACTATTAATATTTTGATGATTTATTACTACTCTCGATATGGATTATCAAGACAAGAGTGCATCTTAAAGGTTTTCTATGATTAGTATACAGACTTCAACATTTTCTCTGATTACAGTATCGATTATCGTAACCTGATGTATAAGTTAAGTAAGTTGAATCATTCCGACACTGGTGAGTTTTGTGAAATCCCTACCAGGGTCACTATTAATATTTTGATGATTTATTACGACTTTCGATATGGGTTATCAAGACAAGAGTGTATCGATCAACTTTCACATTTAGCGATGAAGTCCCATTCTTTGCTGCTGTGAAACGCTGGTACAATAATTTTAATCGTGACCGCAGTTTGCTTACTGACGATATTCGAAAAGGTCGTCCAAAATCAGTTGTTGTACCAGAAAACATTGATATTGTGCTGAAATTGATATTTGTGATGCAAGATCATCATGTGGCATACCTAAGCATTACTTTCACCAGCATATATAAAATATTGCACTATGAAATATTACAATTTTGACAAACTCTTTCGATAAAGATTTGAAAGACATTTTTAAGAGAGTATTTAAAATTATTAATGGATCAGAAATCTTTATTTGTAGCAAGTGATTTGTTACTTGAAGTCTATAGTACTTGGAGTTAGAATCTTCTTCGAATTATTTGAATATTAGATAGCAACTGGATACTTATCCATTGCCTATCCGATTATAACGGAATTAGGCAACATCTCTCTAAAGGACATATTGGCATTCTTAACTGCTACTCGTCTATGGAACTGAAGTGGGTATGCCACAATAATCCTCGAGGATGCAGTGACGCAGTGACTACTTCCCAACCTTTTTCTTTGAAAAAAAAAAAAACTGGATATTTTATGCTAAGACTTTTAATAATATTATAAATACAGTTCACTCAATATTAAAAGTAAATGGTTGTTTCATATAAATTGGATTTTCCAGAAAGTTGAAGAGGAGATATGTGAAAATGAAACATATGTACATATATATACTATGTAAGAAATATGTGAAATTTATAATTAAAAAGATTCATGTTTTACACGAGCATTCGGGAGCAAAATTCTTAAAACATTAGTAACATCTTGGTAAACATAATATAGTCTTTAAATATAATATATAGATTATGAGTATAAATACATAATTTCTTGGCGTTGTGCGTTATTTGTACGAATTGGAAATATATAAATTATTAAGACATTATATGCCTATTTCTGTATTGGTTGAAGTATTTAAGATAAATAAGAAACGTCCACAATAACGGGGCTCTTAAGGATTTGCAACCCTAACAGATCGATTAGGTTTTCTATGCTGTATGAGACCGCACTGTCTTTATGTGTTTTACTATGAATGGTAATATTGCGTGACCATAGGCATATATGTTAATTATCTTTAATTGAACTTTTATTAACTCATTCATAGATATAAAAAGAATTTGAATAGTTTTGTTAAATACTTAGAATCGAATTTTTATTTTTATAGAGTCATGTGTAGTATGGAATTAAAAAAATGCAAGAAAAATCTTTAATGGAAGTGTAGTAATTGGAGAAATGGAGGAATGAAATCATTTACATATATCAGTAGTGAATATTATAATAAATTTTAAATGATTACTATTTTTAAAATATATAAAATATATTTCATATAAATAATATATAAGTAAAAAACACAGAATTAAATATTTTTTTGTTTAAGGTTTACGTATAATGAGAACTATTGACGAAAAATTATATTTTGTTCAGTTTTATATAAAAATTTTTTATTCCATATCTCTAGGCAATTCATTAGTTAAATTGTTATATTACAAGGTAAATATTTAAACATTTTTTTTTTATATTATAATAATTTAACTCTGTTTTTGTAGATTTTGTAACGCCGAATGCTAATTTGTGCAAATATGAATTTTGTTACAAGCTAAAAAATGTTGATGAAAATAAATGTTTTAAAATTAGATATGTAAATGCATGAATATTTGTTTTGGGCATTCATCAGTGATGACAAACAAAAAATTTGTAAATTTTACTAAAAGCCTTCAAAATCTCTGGTCAATATATTATTTTCAAAATAAGTAAAAAGTAACTATATAATATTTTTAGTACGAATTTTTTAATTGAGATAGTGTTTGAACTAACGACTCATACGTGCATGGCATATACATATGTTATAATCCATATTCATTCCTGTACCCGAGGTAGACTTGAGTTACAGAGTTAATAGAAAGGATTGCTATGAGAACTCACAGCTATAGTACTGCTATGTTATACTTATTTAATTTCTTTTAAATATATATCATATCAATATCGGCTCATATCTACTATATAATCGCATTTCGTTATGAAATTTCATTAAGAAATTCAAGAGTTAATTATTTATGCCGAAAGCTACGCTTTTTATGTAGACAAAGAGGCTATTTTTAAAAGTTAGAATAATTTTAGAATTATTTTTAAAAAATTAGAAATTTAAAATATTATTCCCAGAAAAAAATAATCAAATTAATTAACTCAATTAATATTTTAAATCGAAAACTATATACCAAAGTAGATCAAAAACAAAACAAAATAGAAAGTCAATATAGATGATAGAACAAAGAGGATGACGTATATATAATTTAAATAATATTAATTTAAAGTAGATCATAATCCTGATGATAACTCTCAAGGAGAGTCGAAATATAGAGTAAAATAAAAAATATAAAATGCTGAATTATTTAACAAGAAGGGACCTACAGTCAGATAAATATATATATATATATATATATATAGGAAGACAATGTTTATGCGTATATTGCATGATTCTTAATATCGTTAACTAGAAGACGTTATCAGAATATCATACGAAATGAAAGAGTTTAATATTCTCAATAGACAATAGTGTCAAAGAAGAAGGTGCCTATTCAGACTTTTACCAATCAGCAGATTATAGTGAATATCAATTAACAGAATTAATAATGGGTCTAAGTAATAGAAAAACACATTATCTTGAAAAAATGCTGAAGATAATTAACAGATTTTTTAAATATTTTTATTATGAGTTAGTCCTGAACTTAAGCTTGAAAATACTCCACAGAGATAAATAAATAATATTATAGTAATTATTTGAAAAAATATTTTTTTGTCTTCAATTTAATTTTTTTTTTTTTTTGTTATGATATATACGTATGTATGTAACATATATATAAACGTTATAATACTGCTGTTCTTTTACATAAAACATATGGTTTAAATGGCTATTTTAAATGAACATAATACACTGCATTTAAACAAAATATTATTAACAAAAAACGATTATATACAAGATATAGAAGATATAGTACGTTATGATGAAAGTGGTTGTTCTGCAAAACTCTATAGTATGGATTGGAGAAAAGTTTATTTGAGCAGAAGCCGACTGAAACCTGCGCCACAGTAGACATCAAATAGCTTAGTAAATAGAAAATAATTACAAAATGAATAATTGAAAATGAGCTCAGAGTTAAGTTCTACAAGTGCTAGAGAGAGAGCAAGAGCACGCTAAATGTTCAAAGAAAACAAAAAAAGAGATAAGTTCGAAATACTGTAGTTACTGTTGTATTTGTAAGAATTTAGGGAATTTCACGATATAGTCTTTCTGGATGTGAACAGTAGAAAACATTCGAACTGAGCTATTAGTAAATATATAAAATTATCGAGTCTTCTTCTTCTTTTTTGCTTCATGAAATGCAAGTTAGTGTCTAAAGCACTTTCACCCAATAGTTTCTGTGATCACTAGTATAACCCACTGTAACAATAGTTTCATTGCATACTGATAATCAGTTATACAGTTGAATTTACAGAACTATAGTTTGAAGTCCAGCATATTGGAATATATAATCCATTTGTTTGAGGATAGTATAATTCTGAATAAGTCTGAGCATCAATAGAATATAAACAATTTCAGCATTCTGTATTTGATATATATACTGTTGTATACTATCGACACTATCATTTCTGATATACCATGATCGAGTTCAACTAATAGAGAGGTTTTTATTTAAATTAAATCATTCGAATGTTTACAGCAACCCAAGTACAAGGATTTGTGTTGGTTTGGGCGGATGTTATGATAGTCATTATTAATACAAATGTGTACCGCGATGGTTCTTTAAAGATATGGTTAATCAAACATTTTAATACTTTACTAAGAAAGAGATTTTATACCATTACACAAGCCACACACTAACCAACATGGAATGGAAAAAAACGTTGAAAATTTTAATTCATTCTAACTCAAAGCCAACTCCACGACCAGCAAACGCAAATCTACTTGACTTATCGGATCGAGACATTTAATAGGTTCAAGTTAGAACTAAAACATAGTTAAGTATTGGTAAGCCCCAATTTATTCTCACTCACGGCCATCTCAACGGTCGCCTCCACGGCCACCTCTCTAACCACTAAACGCAAATCTACTTGACTTATTGGATCAAGACATTTTATAGGCTAAAGTTTGAAGTAAAACATAGTTAAGCGTTGGTAAGTCTAGGAAAATTTATTGATCCAAATGGCTGACGAATTTATAGTTTTAGATTCGTGTGGCCTGCGACTCTGAATTGTACGTTGATTAACTCAAAACCGTGCTTTGTGCAAAAAGTTGGTTTTAAAAAAGTATTGATATATTTAGTATTTCAGAAACGTTACAGTCTTTGTAATATTTTTTTAATTTGTTGAAGAATATTTATTTCCACATAAAAAATACTGCTCTTTAAAGAATAGCAGTGTATTTGGGCTGCCTGATATGTGTAATGTAAGAGTAGTTAGTATCATGTTTTTGGAACAATATGATCCATTTCCTTATTTTGGCGGCGATAACCACGCTTATTGTAGTTGTTTATTTCGTTTCTTATTTATAGAAATTTTCAGAACTTGATACGAGAAGTGTTAACATAGATTATACATTATTAAAATTTAATTTAGTTTGTTTATACTTATTTTGATGGCAATATATTAGAATTCATTAAAATTGAAATAAGCGAATGCTTCAAATTTGTGCTGTGGATTATTTAACCTTGTTACAAAATTATAATATAATCCAGAAATTGTTAATACTGTTTCTTTTACAGAATGAAATCAATTCTTGAATGTAATTAAATTAATTAAATTTTCAAAAAATTTCAGAAAAAACATTTACAACAATTAATCTTACCTGCCCATTTTCCAAATTTCTCGGTTAGCGTCTGTGGTAGCTGCGGTTGAAAATATGGTTCCAGTAAGGACTTCACTATCATCACTGTTGATTTGAAGTTATCAAATAGGAACGCAGTGATGGCTAAGAATCCGATCAAGTAAATAAAGTACGAAATCAATTGCCAAATGAATGCCATTTTCAGTAGCGTAAATATGCTCACTTCCACGACTGTTGACATTATAATAAGTAAAGTTTTTGTAATAAAATTTTATACACAAAAAGCAAAAGAAGAATTTTTTTTATTCTTATCAGTTTGAATTATCATAAACTATATGCGCTTATCAAATTCTTTATTTATTTATTTTTTATTTTTCAGATATAGTCTACTACACTACTGAATTCACTTTTCGAATAGCACTTTTTACTGGTACCACTATTATTCATTTATTCACATATGGAAAAACTGTAGGCAACGCTAGAGCATGGTCAACATAATCACTTATATTCCTAATTTTTACATCACTGGTATTATGGGCTGATAAAGCAAAACTATTGAGTACTTCAGTGTTTTTGCTTGCTTCAGCGTGAAATGCTAAATTTAACCCACAATTGAACTTCACTATTTAAACTTTCAGTTCGAATTGACTGAGCTACTTTTCTATTCGATTTTCGAATTATTATAGACTTTTTTTAAAAAATGCAAAGATACTCTATTTCATTGCGCCTATTCAATTGAATAATTGAATAATTGAAGACTTGAATTTTGTATCGGAACGCAAACCGCAGCAACGAACGCCGAACGCGAACTGATTGAAGTGCTGCAGACGTTAAATGGCGAAGCACACATTCAATTTGAGTTGCAAGCGGAGCTTCAGATACTGAAACGAATCCAAAAACCAAAAAAAAAAAAAACAAAAATAATTTAACATGAAATTGTACAAGAAGTTACATTATCAGATTCGTTTACGGGTACATGCAGGCGCGATGGATGCTTCTGCAATGGTTTTGTTCCGCTTCTGAGTCACCGCTTGGAAGCTGTGCTTCAGCCATATTCAGCTGTTGTAATCTCTTTACGATTCTGAACTCTTGATATTGTTGTTGTTGTTTTCGGCTTGAAAATTTTGGTACTACACAATCACTTACAGAAATTTTTGGGAAAAACTAGTTTGTTACAATATGAAAAATAAAACGAAATAAGAAAATTTTAATTAAAAAAAAGTGATTACATTTGTTGTTGCTATTTAAGCTGAAATTACAAAGAACAGGTTTCCCTTGTAACGAAGCGACAACTATTTTCGGGTTTCTTGTTGCAATTGTGACCCATTTTTCGCGGCACTTACCGAAATGAAATGCTTACATGCACGGCTTCTGATTCATGTGTGAAGAAAGAATACATAATAAATGCAATTTAATGAAATTTTTTTTTTTTTTTTAATAACAACATATTAATTCATTAAAAAATTAATTAAATAAATTTTATAGTATTTATTTTTTTATATATGGGCTAATTGGTTTAATAAAACAATCGTTTATATTAAAAGTTTACTTATACGAGTATTTATCTAATATTTTGACTAAGCTTGGCATATGGAGTCTAAACAAATTATATACGGACTATAAACTAATTAAAAAATTCGAATATTTCTTAAGACCACTGATGATGAGTACTTGGCAATACTCGAAACAGCCAAGAGACGTTGTATGGTCAGCCAAATTTCAATAAATTAATAAAAATTTTTGTTCTTGTCTTTTCTTTGCTATTCGAATCCGTCTAACTTTTAAATAAATTAATTTTATTAAAAATTAATCGAACAAAACACTTGTTTATATTAAAAGTTAACTTATATTATTTTCAAATTTTGACTAACATCGATAATTTCCTTCATCTGAAGGAAGTTATGGTCAGCCAAATTTCAATAAATTAATTAAAATTTTTGTTCTTGTCGTTTCTTTTCTATTCGAATTCGTCTAACTTTTAAATAAATTTATTTTATTAAAAATTAATCGAACAAAACACTTGTTTATATTAAAAGTTAACTTATATTATTTTCAAATTTCGACTAACATCGATAATTTCCTTCATCTGAAGGAAGTTATTGACATAAAAGATAAACTTATAAATAGTAAATATAAAATAAAATAAATATAAAAAAATTTGTCATAAAATAAAAATAAAAAACTTTATAAAAAAAATTTAATTTAACGATATCCGAAATAACTTAATAAAAAAAAATTTCGGATTTTTAAATTTTCTTACTATTACTTTAATTTCTATCTAAGGCTGTGTGCGAGTTCGAGTAAATTAAGGTAAAGTACCATAAATTGAAATTTTCTAGAAATTTTTTTTTGCTCTGCACTTATGTAAGTATTTATTTATTTAATCATTGCACTTATTTATTATCGTTGGTTAAAATCTTTACAAATTTATTTATTTATATATTAAACATCTTTTAAAATTTTCACAATTTTAGATTTTGCTGTCTATATTTCTTAAAACATCGTATAATGGTGTCCGGGTATTGAAAAACTTTCATCAGAAATTTCTATAAATTATTTTCAATACATTTAAAATATAATTAGGATATTTGAATGCACTGAAGTAGTTGAAAAATGTTTTTAATAGTTTCACCCAAAGTACATAAGAACAGCAATAATGGATAAACGTCTGTTATATAGACGTGAATATCCAATCCATGGATGTGTGATTAAAAAAAGTTTTATGATTCTATAATATCAAAATGATTACTCATACTTTTTTTTGTTTCATATGTCGATATGTTAAACTTATATGTTAGCATGTAAGTATATAGTATATTTGCATTTATTAGTTATCTATTATAGCAGCTCGAAATAAACCAATTTTCTTGAAATCTGTCAAATGTAAATCATTGTGTCAAAATTTTGACAGCTTATATTTGCAAAACGATATAGGGTAATTATATTACTCGAGTTAGTATAAAATATTTGACACTCTAATGAATATGCCAATCAAATACTTCTTTGTCTATTCTTTGACAAGAATTTTTGAGCTGATTTTACAATGTTTATAATAAAGTCAATAATTGAATAAATTATTAAAATAAATAAGATATACGATTTCTAAAATTTGTTTTAACTGAAGACCATGCTTTGTTCTTCTGCTTTCAAAAAATATGCTGAAAAATAAACCGACAGGCAAACATTAAAAGATGGATATTATATTGTCGAACTGATCAATATATTTAGTTTATTAGATCTTCAATATCTTTTTCGCTACTCTGGAAACATTTTGACAAGCTAATTGATATAATAACTAAAAATTTATTAAAAAATATCTTAATACATACTAAATTCCAGGTGATCAGATGTACAATATATATATTGCTATTCGTTTATAAGGTATACTAATACTGTGATAATGGATAGTTTTATGCGTTTATATCAATTAAATCAAAGACTTCTTAAGTTCAAATGTATTTACAAAAATATCACTTTTTTATATATAGATGTAAATAGATGTAAATGGATTTGATGGATTAAAAATACAATATAAGCGGTATAGATAAATAGTTACTGTTATAAATAGTTTTTAGACGATACAAAATGTATGTAGGATACTTGATTCTGTCATATCCTGCATATCACATATATACGGATTTTATCACTGTTCGGACAAAGAAATCACTTTCCACACTTAAACAAATTTAAATCGAAAATATTTATTGGATATATCATGGAATTTTGTTTAGATTATAAAACTGAGAATTAATTATTAAAGTCATGAGTATACATAAAACGAAAATGTTAAGATTATATTTTTATATTTATTGTTATCATGAAGTAATATTTTTATAAAGATATTTTTCGAATAGTTATAAACTACAGCAACAAAAACTTTTTTTGTATTATTTTAATTAATTCAATATTTGGCTGACCATACACTTGTTTCGAGTATTGCCAAATACCCATCAGCAGCGGTCTTGGAAATAATTCTTTTATTTAATTACTTGTAAACAATTTTTTTTGAGACTGCAAGTATCAAGAATCGAATTCGTGTCCTGCCAAATTTAAAGCTCAGAGTCAGCGCACCTTAACCGATTGAATCAACACCGTACTTAACTTTTATGTTTGAACATTTTTCTGGAGTTTTGTTAATTTGCTGTGAAAGTTTTATTAATAAATTTACTTGCTGTGTTTATATTAGAACGAAATCATGAACCTGCTGTAGAATAATTGAATTAATTAATTAATTATATTTTTATATTTATTTGTTAAATTTACTATTCTGTTTGTAGTAACATTATTTGTTGCTTGATTTATATATTCTTTCTTATGTATAGAACCTAATCTACGAACTTAAAACTTAGAAAGTCATGGTAATAAAATAATATTTTTACATAAAACCTCGATTATTCTTATTCAATAAATAAACCATTATTTTGGTAAGTTTCATGAAGAAGAATTACTGCTTAAGATGGTTATAGTTTCATAAGATATATGCTACTTATACATTTATTGAATAATTAAAAAAAAATTTAATAAAATGCTTTAGATAATATAAAATTTATGGTACTACTGGATTTCGCAGATTTAAAAAATTTATTATAATGGAAATTTTCACTAATAGTTTGTCTGATTGTGCAATATTAAAATCTTACAGTTTATTTTTAATATTTTCGGTACAACTGTAGTGAGAGCACTGCGTTTCTGATAATATTTGATTTAAATAATATAAGATACTTGTACATAGAAGCAGATACAGTAGTTTGCGCATGGCTGAAATGTGAACAGAATTAGTCTAAATACTCTAAGATATAGGTTAGTATTCAAACAATGACGTCATTGTTGAAAATGTAGTGAATTAAAATAATCAAATATATTATTGTTTAATAAATATTCTTACATATGCAAAAAAAATATATCCAATTAATTATATCAAAATAATTTAATTGTGAAACAAAACCTTTTTTACACGTCTTTCTAGCTAAATTAAATGCAAGACCTAATTTTCGTTTCCCATATGAATTTTTTTTTATGAGTTACACTATAATAAACTCACACTAATTTTAAATTATTTTAATTATTAATTATATATTAAAAATAAAATTTATATTTGATGGAAGTCGAAAACTAATTTCATTAAAAGTTACACTAAATTTTTAGTAATTGTAAATATTATTTTTACTGCAAATATAATTTGAAAATTTTAAACAATTTATTTAATTTATTTGCAATTTATATAAACAATTTAGTTTATTTTATAACTGTTCAATTTTTTTTATACTCACAAAAATTATTTTAAATTATTTAAAATAAAAACTCAAATCGCACGGTTTTATCGATTTTGACACTAAAATCTAAAATACTTTTTGACATTTATTTTTTGACCATTTCCATAAAAGCTTTATTCTCAAAAGCTTAAAGTTTTTAAAAACTTTAAAAGCATTATTTAAAGTATAGTAGAGACAACAACCATGTGCGCAATTTGCTGATAAACAAACCACACTGAGAGACAAATGCGATAACATAATTCAGTACAATCACAGACAAATAATATTTGTCTGTGGTACAATTCAACAGTTGATTTCTGAAGTAATTTGTTTAAAACTTAAAACATTGCACAACAAGGTATTTTATAATGAGTAAATATATTTAATTTGTATGTTTTTTTTAAGTTGAAAATAGTAATGAGAATCAGTATTGCTGACTCTGTATCGGAATTTTTTAATTGCAATTATTTTTATGTTGTTCTCATAGCCTAATATGACATATTTAGCTTCTGAGCTAGCAAATTTATAATTTATCTCAATTAAATTAATTAAATTATTCTACAATTGGTTGCAGATTTCTTTTTTTTTTCTTTTTTTTTTTAACTTTCGTAAGAAAAGTGACAGAACTACAGAAAAATGTGCGAACATAAAAGTCAAGTACGGCTTTGATTTAATTGTTTAAGGAGCGTTGACTCGAAGCTTCAAATTTGGCAGGACACGAGTTCGATTTTTGGTACTTGCAGTTTCAAAAAATTATTTACGAATAATTAAATTAAATAATTATTTCCAAGACCACTGATCATGGGTATTTGGCAATGCTCAAAACAGCTGTATGTTCAGCCAAAAATTCAATCAATTAAAATAATATAAAAAAAATTTTTGTTGTTGTGGTTTACTATTCTTTGAAAAACATCTTAATTATTTTTAATAAAAAAATATATTAGAAGCATCGGAAAATTTAGAACTTAAATTTGGCTTCTGCACTTCTTACACAAGTTTTCCTTCTGTCTTTTTCTGTTTGAACATACATAGAGTGCTTTACTTATTGTACAAGTAATCCTCATATAGTATAGTCGTAATCAAATTTTAATGAAACTTTTTTTTTTAATTTATATATTTCTTTATCTTTTTTTTAATTAATTCACATTTCATAATAGTAATAATAATAATTTTGGAGTTCTGATTCTGATGATGACTCGCAAAGAGTGTCAAAATATAAAATATATTAAAAACTGTTAAACAAACGTTAATTTAAAAAAAGGGTGACCTGTAGCTGGACATAAAATATATAAGAAAACATTATTTATAATAATTTCAGTTATGAAGATGATTTCATTTTAAGCAGTTCGATGCTAATAGAACTATTTATATTATCAAAATCTTTCTTTATTTTCTTATATAAGCTTATATAAAAACTAAAAGTATAAACATTAGTCATCGTTTTCTTGAATGCTTAGCTACCTGTTCGTTAAGTATTGTAACCTTTTTTTACTGAAAGGGATACGATTTAGTAAGGTTATTATTGATTTTTCATCCAAAGCAGTGAATTTATGGAGTGCATAATTTAACAACAAATTTTACTTTTTCAACAACCAAATGTTTATAGTTTGGTGTTCCTTTAAACATGTCCCAGGTTGATTGGTTCCAATGACTGCTCGAAAGATTCCAATTAACAGTTATTTGCCATTTTAATATTATACTCCATGCAATGAACTTCTGCAAATAAAGAAGATCCAACCAATTGAATTTAAATAATTTCATTTATTCTAATTGATGACCAATCAGACAGACTCTTGAAAAAAAACTTTCCCTTAAAATCAGTACTTTCCGGAATCTACCAAATCCAGACAATCATAAAGACAATCTATGAAAACAATCTGTGGTTGTTTTCTCATCATCCAAGTAAGCAAAATTGGGTTAAAGTGAAATTTTCAATGTGTAGATTGTGCCCGAAGAGAAAAACGTTTGGAAAGCACCTACTAAGTTTTTGATTGTTGAAACCCTTGTCTACGAGTTATTTTTGAGCAAAACTCATAGGTATTTGGTTGATAATGTTAACTGATGTTCATTTAGTGAAGAAAGGTAGAAAGTTGGTAATTTGGTTTTGGAAGCAAACAGCATTATCAAACAGGTAATTCACATTCTCCTGCTCAAATTCAAATCTACACCAGAACTGTCTGCATAATTATGCTCCGAGTGGTTAGTCTTCATTTTGTTGTGCTAATAAATATTTGTTTAAGCTGAATGGTATTATTTCCTGCCAATTGTTAATATCTTATTTTAATTTTTGTTTCATTAAGCCAACTTATGGAATTATAATTGCATTTTTGTTTAAGAAATTATAGTGATAAGCAGGCAATATACCTAAAGAACTTGTATATGGATATGGATCGAATAGAGAGTTTTCGTGTGGACACTAAAGAAACCTTGGAATCTAATTTTTGTCAGTAAATAATATCCAAATTATATTTAATCTTAACCGTGTATTCCTATTATATATTTCAATAACATTAAATATTTCAACAATATTTAATATTTAAATAATAGTTAATGTTTCAATAATATTTAATATTTAAATAATATTTAATATTTTAACAATACTTAATATTTTAGTAATATTTTAATAATAATATATTATTGCTGTTTAAAAAACATAAAACTTTTCTCAAAATTTAATACAAAAAAAAAATTTAATTACAAATATTTTAATTTTGAATTAAATTGGAAAACTCTTAAATATGGAGTTAAACTGTAAGAATATTGTTTATAAAATTTATAAAGAACAGAGCAATAATATATGTTTATTAATGCAATATATAATTAATTACATTAATTATAATCAATTACATATTAATGCAAGAGACATTGTCTCTCAACCAATTAAAAATTATATAAGTAGCATGTACAATGGCAAGGTAGCGCGGGGTGTCGATGTTGAACTCATATGGGCAACTGAACACATCCGCGTCTTAGGTAACTCCAGGGCGTATGTGCTCGTCAAGTCAGATACGCTGTTTCCTGATATTCATTACTCCGATATTGGTATCCATCTTGCAATGGCAAATCTGGCAGTTAAAAAAAAAAATCTAAGCATACCTATAAAAACTGGGTAAATAAAAGTTCTTGTTAGATATCAACATTTTTTTGGTTTAAGCTGGATAAGAAACGTGAGTTAGTTGCTTTAACTAAACGAAAACGTGCTGAGCACAATGGCACTGATGTTGACAGAACGCTGCGCATCAGGAAGACATACCATGAGACTGGGTCTATCCTAGACCCAGTCTTACATTATAAAAGGAAACTTTAACTTTCCTTTTGTAATGCCCATCTTTGGCCAATAGAATATTGAAAATCTTTGGAACCTCTTCTATTAATATAACATGGTAATCATTTTTATAATTAGGGACTTATTCAAGGTATTTAAATTTCACTTGAGCGGGGAAATTATGTTTTTTAGTGTTCTTCGCACACTGACCACTTTCATTGTTTCGGAGGTTCTTATGGACTGTGTATACCATTAATCTGCTGTATTGCAACGAGTCATTATTTGAACTGAAGTGAGATTAGCTGTGCAAGGCCGTCACTCTAATATAAAATAATCGATGTGAAATATTTTTAAAGCAATTTATCAGTTATTGCGTTGTTTTTTTTTTAATGTAATAAAATTCAATTTATACATATATATACATATATTTGATTAACATATGTTATATTCAGAGATTGTTTTTTGTTGTTTACTGTTCAATAGTTCTCAAACTCAAACAACCACACATGTAGTTTCTATGCTTGTTATTGCAAGCTTAACTTATTTCACCAAGTTTAGTCCACGAAAAACAATCCAGTGTGCCCTGGGGCTATAGATGTTAACAATACAAGCTATTCGCATTGTCAAATGGCTTGTATTTATATATATATATAGTCTGGTTTAAATCGTTGCTTGATTTTTAATATATTATATCATATAGTATATTTAATATACTATATGATTATGACAATTAAAATTTTTAAAAATTGTTTGCTTATATAGTAATATAATTATTAAATGAACTATTTAAAAACAGTTTAGGTCAAATTATTGTACTTCTATATTCCATGGCTATAATTAATTTGCTGTAATAACAAGTTTAAATTAAAATACATGTAACATTTAATGATTTCTTATCAATAATTGCAATGAAAATGATTTTAACTAATGTTGTTTAAATTACATATATTTATATTTATCTTATGAATATGTATGGGTATATTACATTACATTTACTGCCTTAGAATTCTGTTTGTATAGCTTTTAGTAGCCAACAAGTTATTGCTAATAGTTGACAACATTGTAGCTATTTTCTTCTAAATAACCCACTTAAGTACCCAATTATTTCTTAATTAATCCATTATATATTATAAGTGAATTCATTTTAATTAAATACTGGCCATTGTTAGTCAATATCTTATCTGTGAGGTGATAAGGTATAATTAATATATTGATTGTTTTTTAATATTAATATTATATAACGTTATGCATTTCTAAACATAAACTTTATTGAAACGCATATTAACATGTAATATTGGATCTCTTAGATGTAATTTCCGGTTGCAACTTAATGCAAGATATTTCGAAGTTGCTTCAAAGCATCGATAGTTTAAGAATTGTCAGAATAAACATACTCTTTTAGGTATTTAAACAAAAAAAAAAAATGCAGTGATGACCATCAGTGATGATTTTAGTGTCAAATTCGCATTACCAAAATGAGAGTTTACATATTCGACGAAGACAAAACAGGACGTGTTGTCTGGCTTGTAGCTCAGTTGTGTTCGATTAACCTTCTATATATGAATAATTTACATAATAGATATGTATTTAGATGTATCATTTAAAAATCTTTAATGTATAAAGATTACACATAAAGATTGTATGTCGCATATTCATCCATATTAAAAAAGTATAGGTATATCACTCCTTCAAAACTGATGTCACATAGTAGCATATCGTGTTTGCAATAGTTTTTTGATAGTTTTTTTTGTGGATTATTGTAAAAAAAATTTTAGAAGATATAAAAATTGACATGTGGTATTGTTGAACCAACATGTTGTGTCGACTAAAAATAGTTTATCTTGAGATTTAGTTAATCTGGTTAAATCAACCAATTTTTTTTTTTTTTAATATACATACATAATTAATAATATGTAATTAATTGATATGCAAAATAACGATTCGTGTAAAAAGTATTGAAGCTTCAGTGACTCCTAAGCTAATTTTTTGTTAATTAGAAACATATATATAAACATTATATATATATATATATATATATTAATATTGAGTATACAATTGACCAGTTTTTAACAAAACTCGTTTGCGATGAATTCGGCTTTTTATATTTTTTACTTAACTGAAAATGATTATAAGCACAATAGCCTTAAGTACTATATTAGAGTTCAAAGATAAGGTTCATTTACTATATGCTTTTATTGCTTTTTGTTTGTTTTTGGTGTTACTTTTAAAAATTACTGTAAACTAATTTCAATAAAGAAAGCGTTTAAAGTAAGTTAATTAAATTAATAATTAAATTAATAATTAAATTAATAATTAAATGATAAATTATTATTAATTATTATAAATTAATTAATTATTAATAATTAAATAATTAAATAAATGGTCAATTAATACAATATTATGTAGTAAAGGTCTATATCAAATGTTAGAGTTCAAAGATATGGTTCATTTGCTACTTGCCTTTATTAAGTTTTTATTTTTGCTGTTACTTTCAAAAATTACTAAAAACTAATTTTAATTAAAGTAAGTGTTTAGTCAATTAATTTCATAATTAATATGACAAATATTTGAGCTCGGTGAGTTTCTCCATTTTGTCACATGCGTGTTGCTTAGTCTATTTTGTAAAAACTTCTATGGCAATTTAATAGTACATATACACATCGTACTTTTAGTTTTATCCCCTTTTCCACTACAGCTACAGTTATAATATATAACCATAATATTAATTAAAAAACGCCCGTGAATTCTAAATTATTCCAAAAAAATGATTAAGTCTAGTTTTGTCTATAATACTCTTAGCCGGTCCACTACACTCGGTGCAAATACCTCGACGAGAAACGTGATGATATATGTTGGTAAAACTTTTGCGGCAGCGTACTGAAACATTTATAAAATTTACAAAGTTATTTATAAGATATAATATAATATATAATATATACTAAGACATTGAATATATATGGAAGAAGTTCACTCAAAAAAAAAATTTAATCTTGAAAATGACGACATTCATAAATAAAGTATTCAAAAAAGGGACTTTGTATATTAGTTTAGTTCATTTAATAATTTTTAATTTACATTAAATATGTGTTGGTCTGGAATTTTTATGGGTCTGGAATTATGGTTCAAAATTAATTTCTCTTTTTCGAAAATTAATATTTGTATTTTAAGATGAATATTCTTCATGTTTAAGAATATTCACTTTGTTCAAGTGGAAGGAATGATCTCTTTTGCAAAATTATTTAAATTTAAAAAAACGTTAATGAGACATCATATTCCAGCAGCTCATAAAGAGTCCTGCAATCTTACGCAGACGATTAAATGATCGTCGATAATCACATTTCAATGGAAGTTGAAAAACCGAAAGTATTAAAAGCATTAATTAATGTGATGACCGATCTCTTGATCGTTTGCGTAACAGTGCCTTTAGGGCACTGTCGTCCAGAAGTGCGAGCGACAACATGAAGTAGAACAGTCAATAGAATAGAAGAAGAATAAAGTACTGAAAATAGTTAAATAATTTCTGAAGCATCCGTGAAATAAAAAACACAAGGCGATATGAAACGAAGGTAGGGGTCTTATGCTTTATTGAAAGTTCTGTTCTCTTAGTGTTATATTCTATTCCATATGTCCATATTTAATTCTCTTCTATATTCTTATTAAAATATTTTAAATGCATAAAAGAAGTGACTAAATGCAAATTATATGATTTCAAATAATATTTTATATATGTATATAGTATTGTCGAATTCTAACTCATTCAATTAGACAAATGATTTATTAAACTACATCGAACAAACCTCACGTTTTGACTGAATATATGACAGTTAAAGAAAGTCAGAAACATCTCAAGTACAAAATTTTAATTATAACAGATTAGTTATACGTCAATCGTTGCTCAATTTATCGTAAGTTTAACATGATTTTCTTTAAATAAAAAAATTATAGCACTTTCCATTAACACTGTTCCATTAAAACAATGGAACAGGAAAGATCTATATCAAATTAGAACTAAATAATGCGAAGAAGCACACATTTATATTTTCGTTTGTTTGTTTAGTTTTAAGGATGAGTATATTACCAAGTATTTATTTATTCAACTAACCTGTACACCATGCCAAAAATAACCAGTAGTTTTATCAACCCGTCCTATAGTTGATACTGCCCAACGAGCATATGTCTCTGGATCTGGTATGAATAAATTGCCGCGCATTATTGATGTCGAGTACGAATTTAGTTTTGTGACAATAAAATGTGGTGATAATAATTGTACGTGTATGCCATAGCGACGCGCCTCATATTGTAGTGCCAGGGTCAGACTACGATTGTATGCTTTCGAAGCTGCATATATAGCGCCATGAGGTACTGGACACAATTCTGTGCAAGAAGATACATTGACGATACCACCTTTTATACCAGACTGTTGCATGCGTAGTAGAAAATAACGTGATAATTCAGTTACTGCACCGATATTAACATTAATGACATCCCAAAGTTCTTTAGAACTAAATGCAAACATCATTCCTTGTTCAGGTGTACTATGCCCTACGTTATTAACTGTAGAGAATATTAATTGTAATTTTTTTTTCGCATTTCAAATTTATAAATAAAATATTTCAACCTAATAATCCAATTGGAATATTATCTAAGGCGTCTTCGATGGTCTTGTATATCTTAGCACCGTGTGAAAAATCTGCTACAATTATTTTTACTTCCACACCGAATTCTTTTTCTACAAAAATGTATGTTCATGTTTATGTTTATACGAAGATATCTATATGAGTTCACAAAGAGATGCCGAAATAATTTACATTCAACTAACCAATTTCACTAGCTATAGCTTTCAATTTAGACTCAGTTCTAGATATAAGAACTACGTTAAATCCTTTTCGTGCGAGTTCTCGGGCATAATATTTACCAATGCCGTCTGTGGAACCAGTAACAACTATATTAAAGAGTAAAGTCATTTTTTTTCTTTTAGGTAAAAAATTATATATTTAATACCGGCATTTACCTGCCCATTTGCCAAACCTTTCGGTCAAACTTTTCAACTTTTTACCAAAAAACTTTTGGTTCACATAATCGCGTATTAATATATAAGGCGACTTCAAATTATCGTAAAGATAACATATAAGTGCATAGCAGCCAATGATCGTTAATAGATTTATTAGTAAACATTCACTCATGTTTATAGAAGTCACTATGCGAACCGATACTTTTATCACTGCTTGCGCAACTGTCACCGCGAATGGCTGAGAACGCACTGCGATCAAAAATTTGAAGTGATTGGAATCTTTGAAGCAAGATTTCAGGTTAATTCTCTTGAAAGAACACTCACAACTTATCGCTTCCAGCTGGCATTTTGTGTGCTCTTATTGCGCTACACTGTGGCGTGGCTGTTTGGAATTACTTAATAATTATCTAATAATTAATTAAGTACGGTAATTATATACTGAAAGCGTCATTAATGCACAGTTTACTGTGCAAATTTTTGTCGTATCTCAATGGGAGATAATGATTGTGCACAATTTGATCGCAGAAGTTATTCCACTACAAACTAATAGCAAAAACCTTTTTTGACATTATTCCAAAAACAAAAAAAAAACATTTTTAATGTATTGTTTAATATTAATATTAAGCGTTATTATTTTTTATTATTATTTTATTATTATATATTAACGTTTTAAGACTTTATGAATTGTGCGTGTGTATTGGTTAATGTTAAGTCCAAGATAATCTTATTAACCCACAAAATATCATTTTATTGTTATTAAACTAATTAAAAACATGTTCATGCTTAGAAGTGAAAATTTCAAAAGATAATAACTCTAAATTTATGTGGTTAGTGTTATGATACCAATGATACATTAGCACAGATATAGATTCATTCAAGGCAATTTCTGAAAACTCAGTCAAAGTTCTTATGTAAACATTAGTATAAAAAATTCTTTATATGTAGTGTAAGATACAGTCAAACTTCCATAACTCGAACTTTTATAACTCGAATTTTCTATAACTCGAACTGAAAACAGTGCAACAGGGTTTTTAAGAGGAAATTATATACAATTCTGATTCCATAACTCGAACTTCTATAACTCGATTTTCTATATAACTCGAATAAAAATATTGTCATTCTATAAGTCGAATTATTGTTTTAAGTATGAATGAATTTTGCTGTTAGGGGAACTCCCTTTTTACAAACCAAATATTTTTTCTTTCTTCTATTGCTTCTTTATGCAAATGCCAGTCGCTTTTGATTATCAAAGTGAACAACACAGATTAGAGTAAAGTCGTGCAGTAGAATAAAAGTTTGAACGAATGAAGAATGAAAGAATCAGTTACCGCTTTATTGAAGTCTGTTACTTCCTCTGGATGTAGGAAAAGAGTCTGGAGAGTCTGGAATCTGGAGTATACGTAAGAATATTAAATGAGAAGCCAGTGGAACTTGCAAAACGGTTCTGTGATGATAATTTTAAGGTAAGCACTGGTTGGCTTGATAAATGGAAGCATGGGTACTGAACAAACCATTAACTGTTAAAAAAAAAATTAAAATCTCAAACCCTAATCTCTGAATATTTTACTTTACTTTAACTTCTGTGCTGTATTTTATTTCAAATAAATAAATAAATATCTTTCAATGTAATTCTAGTTTCTTTAAAATTAAAAAAAAAAATATAAAATATCCCTAACTCAAAGTCTCTCTCCATAAGACGAACCTTTTCTGTAATGATACTTCGAATTATGGAAGTTTCACTGTAGTTCGAAATATAGTATTAGAAGTGTTGTCTGAACCCAAAAATTCTCCCTTGTGTACGTTATTGAATATAATCTTAGATATACAAAAAAATTAAACTTCCTTATGTTTATGTCCATAAAACTCGAAAAGTAATCGTTGGACTGACTTGAAATTTTCACACACTCCTCATTTTTATATAATAGTGATTTTATTTACTATTTATCCCTAAGTTTACATGTAGGGTATTAAATTAAATGTCGTCTTCACTCGGTGACTCTACGTTCGCTAGAATACTTTTATTTATTAAAAAATGAACTAAGTTTTTATTAATTTGAAGTTGCAAATATATATAATTTAATATATTTTATATTATTGACAACTATTAAACTCTATATATGCTGCTCTATATTGCCCTCTTAAGGAAACTGATGAGAGTTGTAAAATAAATACTTCGGAGCACTAAAAGAATTAAATCGAACAAACGAATGTCGAAAAATTTCGAGACTGTTTTGCGAGACTAAAGATTAATCGGTCATAAAGTTCATATGTAAATCAGATAATGCGATCTACGAGTAGATGCAAAAGTTTTAATATATTTAATATATTATATATTCATTGTTAAAATATTTTCATTATGCATTGAACCTCAGCACTAAATGATAATAATTTAAAAAAGTTGTGAAATATTTGAAGTCTATAAAAAAATTTTGTTATATATTTAGTTCTAAGGATACTTAGATATAATGTAAAAAAATCCCCTTAATGAAGAGTTCGTATGTCTTATTTATTTTATTTGTGTAATTTAGCAATATTATGAGAAAATTTATCAATAAAAATGTTATTATAATTTTATAATCATTCTTGAAGCCAATTCACCGATATAGCATACAATGGTGGCCGCAAGTTATCGAAAACAGTACTGAAATACAATTTAGAGTTTTCGAAACATCGTCTTACTGCACGTAGCTTGCGGTGTTATTTATTGCAAATTGTGACGCCTATACTGATCTCGGTATTAGAGTATTACTGTGAGACTTGAACCTACTAAAACTACTTCCCAGGAATGTATAGAGATTAGATTACGAGCAGGGGACCGTGTAGGTCCGAGGCTGGGAATCTCATTCCAGAATACAAGGAAAGAAATGAAGTAGATGATCAAAAGGCTTAACATTTAAAAAGTAAATATATCTAAGCCATAAAGAAAGATTGTGTACGGATTTAGAGGAGGGTAATTGTAAATAAAGTTAGAACAACTATGTTAAATGGATAATTTAAGAGTAAATTCTATGTAGAGGGTTATTATAACCACGATTATACAACGGGATTACAGAGGCGGAGTGTGCAATGTTGTCCAAATGGAGGACTAGCAACTGGGGAGGCTTGTGCCTCATAGAGAGTAGTATAACAGTGGGTATTTGATTAGTGCGCAGTATGTCAGGTGGAAAGTTATGGCACCTACAATGATCATAGAAAGCGTCAAACTATTAATGTAAGTCTTTAATGACTAAGTTGTCTTTAGATATATAGTTGTAGCGTTAAGTACTAGAACTTGTAATTTTATATGACGGTTTCACTTGTATTGATTATAAATAAATCTTTTCTCATATGTTGTTTCATACCGATTTCATCCACGGTTGCTTATAACCGTTGTAGCTATAAAATTAAGCTCTGATATTGATATTGATAAACTTCAATATTGCCCATATATACAAACTATAAATAATATTATTATTAAATAATAGGCTATGAATACACTCCGACCTAAAAGATCTATCGTGCGTCTAAAAGCCTAACTAAAATAATTCTAGACCATTTATTAATCTCGTAATTGCTGTGGGCTTAATTTTATCTATTTTGATTTGGGACTAAGATCCCGCTTCCAATTTAGTCGAGTCAAAGTCTTATTGCCACTGAGTAGTTGCATAGAACATGTTGTGATGATTCCTTGTTCTCATGACCTATAATTTTCATGTGGTAATTAATTCTACAGTGTCCTATAAGGAGTTCAGTGTAGATTTTAATATCGTTTCTGCTAAGGCCAAGGATAGCATCAACTTTGATGTGTTCAGGATGAATGAATCTTTTTGACTGCTGCATGCCTGTTTGGGCTCTCCAGTGTTTAAGTGAATTTTGTTTTTCCCGTTCATATAATAAGTTATTTGTGAAACTATTTGTTATACCACAGAAGGGCTTTAGATCAATGAAAGGAGTACATGCACCCTTCTTTGCTAAGGAGCCTGCTATTTCATTGCCCTCATGCCATTTATATTACGGTACCCACATAAGAGTGACATAGTTCATCGATGCTAGGGTATTGAGTAGTTAAAAGCATTCCCTGACCCACTTTGAAACTTTAAATAATAAAATCAAATTTAATTATATCTTCTGATGAATATATCATCATCATTTAAAGTTTTTTAACCATTTAAACCATTTTAAACCATTAAACCAAACTAAAAAGTGCTTTTATACTTTAATTGCAATATTACTGGGTAGTTTCAAAAAACCATAACTAAGTAGAGTACTCTGAACCATAAGTCATGAAGGTCAAACGAAACTTTTTTTCATGTCGTGTTTGTGAAACAGTTAATTATTAAAAGTACTATTGCAAAGCATAAAAATGCTTTTGCATAGCTGTAGAGTGTATTGTATTGATACATATTATAAATACTCGTAGACGTAAACTATTATTATGTTCGAGCGATACATGTTAATATAACCAATTATACAATTAGCTCTCTAACATTTCAGCGAATCCCGATATCGGCATTTGAAGAAGTTTTTTCTACTATATTCTATTTACAATAATTTAGTCTTTATTGTAAGAGAACATCAAATAAATAATATAAAAGTATTAGAAGAAAAAAATTTTTTTATATGATGTATTAATTATAATACAGTTAAATATTATAATACTACTTGTTCATCTACATATAAATTATTAATTAAAATAAAATAGCATCAAGCTTGTCCTTCATAGGGAAGTAATTAAAAATTTTTCAAGTAATTACATTATAATTCCTTTTAGACTTAACATTGATTACGATTTAATCTCGGGTTTACTTAAGAATATGAAATTAATTAATTGTACTAATAAAAAAAATTGATGTGAATTATCACTTGATTGTTTAGATCTATCTAGATATATCTTTTGTAGTTCGATGTTAGTTTACTATTAATGTGTTTACTAGTTTACTATTAATTAATTACTCGTATAATTTTTAACAAGTGGATGTGCTGAGATTGTCAATCGTTGACTTAATTACTTTACATATATACATAAGGGTTGCAAATTTTGCTAGTAAATATATCTAAAATTCTGTAATTTTTTTTTATTGTTAAAGTTTGTGAACTTTAAGTTGAATGTTATAACGTAACTTTTATACAAATATTTTAAGCTGTAGTAAAAAATGCTGGATAGGCTAAATACAGTACTCGCTAATGGGAAAGATTCAATCTCTTAAACAAAGTGTTATTTTTGTTGCACTTGTGAAATATTTTTAAATAATAATATT